CATCACCATCTAGCAGTCCAACAGCACCTAGTGAGCCATCTAGCACCCCGACAACGCCCAGTGGTGTTACGGACCCCGTCATCTTCCAGGGCAACAAGAACTACACCTTCTACGGATGTTTCGCTGAGCCTTCGGCGGGCAAACTGATGGACAATCAAGCTTACAACAACGACACCATAATGACGCCCCAGGTCTGCTTCTCTCACTGTGCGCAGTACAAGTATGCTGGCGTCGAGTATGGCCAAGAGTGTTGGTGTGGCGACACTGTGAATCTCGCAGGCTGGGAAGACTCTACGCCGGGCAAGAATGTGACGGTTGATGAGTGTAATGTTGTGTGCGCTGGAAACTCTACGGAATACTGCGGTGCTGGAAATAGGCTGCTGCTGTATGTGAAGAAGACGGCTGTCAGTCGACGATGGTGAATGAATATGAACGCAGGGGGTGTGATGGGAGATTGAGAATATAGTGATGTAATAGATGTAGCGTCTTTTCTTCCGGGTTCTTTCAAAGGGTAATGTTTTGGATATACACGATGATGGCGAATAATGTGAGGGAATGGGTTATTTGTACTTGTAATATTTCAAAGATTTCTAGAGGAAATGGTGTCAAACTACCTAGATACGCAACTCTTCATTCTAAATTTGTAGAGGTTGCAATCCGAGGGCGTGGCAGCATCTACTTTCCTTGTTCCTGTCTCATATCTCCAGTTATTTTAAACAATGTCCAATCTTGAAGTCGTTGGATCACAAGTGAGTAAAGTGATTGATTTCTCCCGCCGGATCGGTTTACACCAGCTTGCCATCCAAAAGAATCTCCACCTTTTCGTTGTAAAACGACACGAGTCCAGCAATGGCCGCGCTCTCATGGAGAGTCGACTTGTAGTACCAAATAATGTCCTTGTACTCCTTTCCATCAAGCACAACGTCGTAGTACTCGGCGGTTCCCTTATAAGGGCAGTAGGTGGTTGTTGTGCTGGGGCGGAGGATGGCGGGATCGACGGCGCCGAGGGGCAGGTAGTAACGGATTCTGAGGCCGGTCTCGTGGAGGTGGTTTGCGAAGGAGGCCTTTGCGACGGTCTTGCCGGCGATGCGGACCTCGATGGGGCGGGTGGAGGGGAGGATGTCGATGCGCTTGAAGGGGTCTTTGGGGTGGCCGTAGATGGGGAGGTCTTCTTCGAGCCAGGTGTCTTTTTTTGATGTTAGTATATTGGAGGGACGATGAAAGAGGAGAGGTGAAAGGAAAAGGGAGCAAAATCTCACCTGCTGCTGCGAATTCTATCCTCACTAGGCTTGCTAGTTCTCCCCAGCTGCTGTCGAATCGAAGCACCCGGTTTGTCGTCTTCGATGGGATGTCGTCTCTCCCGGCGACGGTGAGCTCGGCGACGGCGACTCGTGCGGAGGCATCGGATTCGCCTTTGACGGGCTGGACGTCCTTGAGGGTGGCGTTTTTGATCTCGGATTCGGGGATGTAGTAGTTGGGGTAGTATTCGTGCTCCCAGACGAGGACGGCGCTGGTGGTGTCCACGATGGTGGTGTTGTTGAAGACGACGCGGATGCGGCGAGGCGTGGGGAGGACTTTGTTGGGGCCTTGTTTGAGGAAGTGGGTTGCGAGGATGGAGAGGCTGGAGGGAGAGTTGAGAGTTAGCTGGTGGTTGAATGTGAAGAGTTGAGTTGGTGATGGTGAGGTTGGAGGTGAGGAGGATGTAAGCAGTGACATACTCTGATCCGGGAGCTCCAGGGCGAGACATGACGGCGGTAAATATGTATTGACGGTGAGTTTATCTACAGAGTCTGTGGGTATAAGATTAAGATTGAAGAAACAGAAACGAGGGCAATGGAACAGACGTGCAAGCAGCGCGATCTAAATAGAAAAACCCAGGGCCCAGGGCGGGTTGCATTTTGAAAGTTGCGTGATGGGACGGAATCCTAGCTAAGCTACAGTACGCCATTCAGCCTTTGGGTTTGTCAGTAATGCGGCGACTGAGCATCAAAGTGCGAGAGACCCCCGCAAGCTCGCTATATGGAGGCGCATGACGCCATGGGCTAGGGCAGCAGTTGCGAGATTCGGAAATAGATGCAGAGATTCTGCAGGCAGTAGTGAGTATGAATGATGACTACTCCGTATGTATGTGTGAGGGGAATGCAGCTGGGTTTTGGGGAGGATTCGGCTGTCGCTTTGATCTGGTGGTTGTAGAGCAACAGGCATCATGAGGGAGAGAGGGGCTTGAAGCTCAAACAAATGTTGATTTTGATCAAATAGCCATTGAGGTTTAGTTGATACATCAACAATTCAACCCAGTGCAGACAAGGTACATGGAATAGACTTTGTGATTCCAAAATTCATCCATCAAGAGATGCTCTCGGCTCGATCTGGTTGTTCCAGCATCCATGACTCAGAACCAAGAAAATCTCCGGCAGTGGCTGCAGCTACACAACTTTTTTACCAGATTTGGAGACTCGTGTGCCGCGTTTTGCTGACTGAGATTTGGAATCACGTTTCCTCGAACCTGTTGATGGTGAATCATCCAAACTGAGCTGCAGGCACTTATTACATGTACTTTGTCTTGCCAGACTCAGAGTTGAGATTCAAGAGTGATTGATTGGATTGGATCCAGGCCTGAAATCATCCGGACCGCAGCGGGTTTTTCTTTCAGCATTTCACTCCATCGTTTTTGGTCCGTGCAGCAGCACTCCGGTACAATGCAAGACTTGCTTGTGACGACGGATCTTGATGCTCTTTATGCCGCCCCAAAGACACGGAGAAATCCAATCTCTCCTCTGCTTTGCTTTGCTTTACTTTGCTTTGCTTGTGCCGAGCTCGCCACGTCAAGCTGGACCGAAGCCACCCGCGTGCCTTGGGATTTGCTTCCCCCGAAATGACGAATCCCTGCCGAGGCCCTTTTCTTTTTCTGCCCTTCACGCCCATCGCACATCACTGCAGTGCGCAGAACTAGCGCGGCAGCCGATTCGAATCGTGTTACGCATCTAAATGACACCGGCCGGACAGATTGTGCTGTGCCGTTCGAGGAACTGCAGCTCAACAAAATGGGCAGACGGTGCGAATAGTTGAGGCCCCGCCGGTTGACGAGCCGCCAATGCGGAGTCCCGAGAAGGTAAGCGGATTGGAGAGTGTTAGCAGCGTCTTTGAGTTGCTCGAGCTGATACTGGAGAGCTACAGGGCGGTTGTTGTGTCTGATACAGGCAGTGATATGACGGGATAGGACGGGGGATACAGTACGGCATAGAGCAGAGTCTGTTCCTCTCTGTTCCTCTCCGGGCCGAGTTCTGACGCCTCCGATTCTGATTTACAGTACATGCATACAGTCGGGATCCGCAGCTCGGCAAGCTCAAGTGCGCATTCTCAACCGAAAGCCAATCAGCCATTCTATCCTCCCTCCCGTTGAAGCTACAGTAGCTCCGAGTTCGTTCTGTCGCTATAGCCGGGGCGTGGATCTCGGCTGTTGCTCTTCAACTCTCACAACCAGCAACTCCAAGACACAACCCAAACACAGCAGCAATGAGGGCCTCGACAACGCTCAGAGCTGGGCGACTGGCCCAATCCCTCTCGCGGCCGCTCTGGCAGGCTCCAGCAGCCGCGAGACTCAACAGAAACAACAGCCGCAGCCACAGCACCGCCGTCGAGACTCCCCTCAACTTCGGAGCTGCCCCTCCCCCTCCCCCTCCCCCGCAGCAGCAGAAATCGGGTCTGGATGGGAAGAAGCTGCTTGCAGACGCGGTGGCGGCGACGAAGCCGCGAAACAACTGGACCAGGGAGGAGATTGCCGCTATTTACTACCAGCCTCTGCTGGAGCTGACGTACCAATCGGTAAGAACTTGCGACCGATTTATTACATGAAGACGAATTGGATTGATGCATGATTTTGATTTTGATACTGGACACCAAAAAACTGACGATTGATTGTGCGATGCAATAGGGAGCTCTGCACCGTCGCTTCCACAGCCCTGGCGAAGTCCAGCTATGCACTCTCATGAACATCAAAACCGGAGGCTGCTCCGAGGACTGCTCCTACTGCGCCCAGTCGTCGCGCTACTCCAAGGACACGGGCCTCGAGGCCAAGAAGATGGAGTCGGTCGAGTCCGTGCTGGAGGCGGCCCGGCAGGCCCGAGACAACGGCAGCACGCGCTTCTGCATGGGCGCCGCCTGGCGTGACATGCGCGGCCGCAAGTCGGGCCTGAAGAACGTCGTCGAGATGGTCAAGGGCGTCAAGGCCCTGGGCATGGAGGCGTGTGTTACGCTGGGCATGATTGATGCCGAACAGGCTCGCCAGCTCAAGGACGCTGGGTTGACCGCCTACAACCACAACGTCGACACCAGCCGCGAGTTCTATCCGTCCGTCATCTCGACTAGATCGTACGACGAGCGCCTGACTACGCTGGGACACGTCCGCGATGCCGGCATCAACGTCTGCTCTGGCGGCATCCTCGGCTTGGGAGAATCATCTGAGGATCGAGTCGGTCTGCTGCACACCGTTTCCACACTCCCCAAACACCCTGAGAGCTTCCCCGTCAACGCTCTGGTGCCCATCAAGGGAACGCCTCTTGGCGATCGCGAGCCCATTGCCTTTACAAGCATGCTACGAACCATCGCTACGGCTCGTCTCTTGATGCCCGCAACCATCATCCGCATTGCTGCTGGCCGCAAGACCATGTCGGAGGAGAAGCAGGCGCTGTGCTTCATGGCTGGTGCCAACGCCATCTTCACTGGTGAGAAGATGTTGACGACGGAGTGTAACGGTTGGGATGAGGACAGCGCCATGTTTGGCCGATGGGGACTGGAGCCCATGAAGAGCTTTGACAAGAAGCCCGTGGAGGTTTAGAGTACAAGTCTTTAGATGTCTTATGAGAAGAATCAATGAAACGAGAGGCCAGGGAACAAAACATCGTCACAGGAAAGATGGCATGAGGGCGGTTTGAGTGAGACTTCACCATCAATATATAAACATATACATACACTTATTATACAGATGCATGTCTCCATCATCATAATTTACTTTTTATAGCCCCCGTCACCCATTCTTCCACTGCCCTACACAGTCCCTCTACTTCCTCCACCGTATTCCCAGCATGCAAACACACTCTCACTCTGTCTTGCCCTGCTGGAACAGTAGGCGCTACAATTGGCCTCACAGTGAAGCCTCTCTCCTGGCAGTATTGCGCCAGATTCCTTGCCCGGCTCGTAAGCAGCGGCAGGATGGGCGACTGCGGTGCCTCGGGGTTAATGCGGAAGAGTTCTGGCGATGGGCCATGTCGTTCAATGAGCTGAGTGAGAAGCGTGTGCATGTGATGGATGAGTGATTGGAGGTTTTGGACGAGAGAGTCTGCGTGGCCTTGGGCGAGAAAGTCGTAGGTTGTGCGTATGCTGGCGAGGGAGGGAAAGGCCATGGCTGTGGTGTAGATGAAGCTGCGGGCGTAGTTGATGAGGTAGGATCTCGTCGTGGAAGAGCAGAGGACAATGGCTATGCAGCTCTTGTTAGCATCCATATATATGCGCAGAAAAGGATTGAAGAGAAATTTACCTCCGGAACAGCCCATGGCTTTGCCAAAAGTATGTACGCGAGCCCATGTCCTGTCTTCGAGCCCAAGTTGACAGACGAGACCTCTTCCTTGGCGGCCAAATATCCCCGTGGAATGCGCCTCGTCGACAATCACGTAGCCGTTTCCCCGGGGTAGCCTTTTCTCTACGCATTCGACGATTGCTTGTAAAGGTGCGAGGTCTCCGTCCATGCTGTAGACGCCTTCAACAGCGATGAAGATGTTTTTCTTGCCGCTTGACACTTGGGTGTCTTGTGCTAGACTTTTCAACAGAGAGTCTAGGCTTGGGTATTTGCTTGACGCAGCTGCATCGTATACTTTGTTATGCGCAAAGGCGATTCTCTGCGCCCTGCTTAATCTCATTCCATCATGAACGCTCGCATGGATCAATTCGTCGTATACAATGACATCTCCCTTTTGCGGCACGCAGGCGAACAGCCCCGTATTAGCCTCAAACCCCGAATTGAACAGCAATCCCGCATCAGCCCCGTGAAACTCGGCAATTCTTCTTTCCAGGTCCTCTGTGAAGGCCGAGTTGCCGTCTAGCAGGCGAGAGCCTCCGGACCCGAGGCCGAAGCCGGATGACTGCAGATGGGGCAGGATGAATGACACATAGGCGGCCTTGACGGCGGGATTGGAGGAGAGTGACAGGTAGCTGTTTGAAGAGAAATCGACAGAGTCGGAGGATGGGGTGGTGAGGCGGCGGAGGCGGCCTTGGGAGAGGCGGGATGAGAGGATTGCTGCGAGGGTGTTGTCGAGATTTGGAGGCATGACTTTTTCTTCTTGTTTTCTTTCCTGTTTGGAGTTGCTGATTGAGCTCAATTGAAAGGCTCTTTCAACTGAATGTGACTGTTTCAATGCAGATCAATTGACTGCACGCCCTTTGCTGTCAACGCAAACTGGTTAGTTTCAGTTGATAGACAAGAAGCCGAAACATGAGATGCAGTCAAACTGCGGCCTGTATCGGCGTCCCCATGCAAGAAAATGCATCAACCACCCATCACATGTCTAAATCCACTTCGGCTGTCATCTCTCTCGCAGTTCACCAACAATTGCCAATCTAATATCGTAAAAACGATTTGAATTGCCGCTTGTCCGTGTTGGGGCAAATGTGCCAGACAAGCTATCCCGCGGAAACCGGTATAGTGAGGGATTTCGAGTTGTCATAGAGCCAGCCGGGCCGGGTTCGATAGCTTCTGGAGCTTGTAGCTTCTTTCTCGGCTCGGTTGAGGAAAAAAAAAGTGTAACTCCACTCCAGAATGGGTGAACGGAGATCGGCAAAGAAAGCCCCCAACAAAAGAAACTGTGTGTAAGAAGAAGAAAATTAAAGTGACATGGGAAGCTTGAAGCTGTGCTGTTTCGTATCCCGCCATTACCCTTTTGGGCGTAATTCCACATTCCATCTTGGGCTTCCACTCCTCCTCTCCAACAACAGAATGCCGTTCCGTTTCTAGGCTCTTTGGAAGTTGAACAAAAGAACAGTCGTTTTTTCTCTCTTGCGGACTATTGATTTATCTGTCTAGCAGAATAATCGATTAGTCTCCCATCTTTCTGTTTGTTCGATTTGATATGCCAGTGCCGCCGCCGCCGCCACTGGCATCGCCGCTCTGGCGGTCGCTGCGATCGTACCAGATCTTTGGTGCCAACACCGAGGTGGGGAAGACGGTCTTCTCGACGCTGCTGTGCAAGGCTGCCGCGAGACGGAGCCCTGGCGGCGTAGCGTTTCTGAAGCCGGTTTCGACGGGGCCGGATAGCGAGGCTGATGATCGGTGTAGGTGATGGTCCTTGTCAGGAGTTGTGGCATTGCGGTTAACACATGAATAGATGATGTTGAAGTTGATCTGGCACTTTGGATTTGGTAGTATTGTGCTGTTGGTTGACCAATTCGTTGTCCGTGTAGTCACATCTTGAAGTTCGCCCCGGATGTCTCCAATAAGACTCTGTTTCAGTACAGAATCCCAGTTAGCCCACACATTGCAGCTCGGGTCTCCAATACCGTAAGTCACCACGGCTTCATAAGAAGCATCTCACTTTTCTTGTACCTCATCTCATTATACAATCTCTCATCTTAGACAATTCCCTCCAACGACACTCTTCTCTTCCAATGCCGAGACTACGCAGCTCAGTGCGCCAACATGGGCAGGAAATGGCTGTTTCTCGAAACCGCAGGAGGCGTCCACTCTCCCGGCCCGTCAGGCACAACTCAGGCGGATCTATACGCACCGCTTCGGCTGCCAGTTGTCCTTGTGGGTGATTCCCGTCTCGGAGGCATCTCTCAGACGATATCGGCCTTTGAGTCACTACGCATGAGAGGTTATGATGTTGAATCGGTGGTGCTGTTCAAGGAGGACAAGTATCAGAACTTTGCCTATCTGTCAGAGTACTTTGCGGAACATCACAATGTGCCTGTCGCGGGCGTGATTGAACCGCCGGAAAGGAAATCAAACCTTGAGGAGGATGTCCGAGCAATGTCGCAGTATTATGAAGAGCAATCTCAGGACGGAAACACGACCAACGTCATTTCCCATCTGGATAGCCGTCACGAGGAGCGTATTGCATCCCTCAATTCCATGGCGACCGAAGCTCTGCAAAACATATGGTATCCTTTTGCTCAGCACAGTCTTTTTACTCCAAAGGACATTAATGTCATAGATTCAGCTCACGGCGACTACTTCCAGACGCTGGCCCCTTCCTCTCCAACATCAGAGACCGATAGCCTTCTCCGAGCCTCGTTCGACGGCTCTGCTTCCTGGTGGACTCAAGGTCTTGGTCACGCCAATCCCAAGCTCACCCTTGCTGCCGCTTACGCTGCCGGCCGCTACGGCCACGTCATGTTCGCCGGTGGTATCCATCGTCCCGCCGCGGAACTATCCTCAAGACTGCTCAAGGGGATGAACAGTCCGCGACTTAGTCGAGTCTTTTTCTCCGACAATGGCAGCACTGGTATTGAGGTCGCTCTCAAGATGGGTCTCCGAGCAGCCAAGCTCCGATATGGATGGACGCCTGAGGAGAAACTCGGCGTTGTTGGCCTCAAGGGCTCTTACCACGGCGATACCATTGGCGCCATGGACTGCTCGGAGCCGAGTGGATATAACGAAAAGGTCGAGTGGTATGATGGCAAAGGGCACTGGTTTGACTACCCGACTGTTTTGTGCGTCGGCGGCAAGTGGCGTGTGAATGTGCCTGAAGAGCTGAGGCAGGCTTTGGGCGAAGACGCGGACTTTGGCGCGCTGTCGGAAATCTTTGATGTTCGTGGGAGAGAGGAGAAGGGCCAACATCTTCGATACGAGGCCTTTATTCGAGAGACGTTGGAGAGGCTCCAGAAGCAGGGCCGTCGGTTTGGCTCTGTCATTATCGAGCCCGTTGTTCTCGGCGCCGGAGGCATGGCGTTGGTGTAAGCATATCTCCCGAACGGTTTTTCAGGCACGGGAGCCATTGCTAACTCACTTCTTGCAGAGATCCTCTCTTCCAACGGGCCCTCGTCAACGTCGTTCGCAAATCTCCAGACCTCTTCCGCAAGCCAAACGCGCCCATCGAAGAATCTCCCAGCAGTCCCACCGCGTGGACAGGTCTTCCAATCATCTTCGATGAAGTCTTTACTGGTCTTTACCGTCTCGGCCGCTTCACGTCGTCTTCTTTCCTTGAAACGAATGCCGACATCTCCGTCCATGCGAAGCTTCTTACCGGAGGCCTAGTTCCGCTCTGCACGACGCTTGCTTCGGAGGATATTTTTCAGACGTTTAATTCTCCAGACAAGACTGATGCCCTGCTTCACGGGCACAGCTACACGGCTCATCCAGTGGGCTGCCAGGTCGCCGTAGAGTCCGTCAAGGAACTACAAAGGATGGACCACGGCGGATCCTGGAACTGGGCCAAATCCCAAGGCTGGACCCCTGAGGCTTCTTCCGCAAGCGGCCAGCCCGCGGTAGACGTCTGGTCAACCTGGCCGCGGGCTCTAGTGGAGGATCTCTCTCGTCAGACGGATCGCGTAGCTGGCATCTGGGCTCTCGGAAGCGTTCTCGCCATCCACGTGAAAGACGCAGCGGGCAGCACGGGATACTTTAGCGATGCGGCGCAGAGTCTTCGGGACGGCCTCCTTGCGGGCGATGCGGAGGGTGTCAATGGCTCGTGGAACGTGCACTGCAGAGTTCTTGGAAACGTGCTGTATCTGATGGCGAGTCAGAAGACGACGGAGGAGAGCGTTGCGCAGATTAGTTTGTTGCTGAGAAAGGGATTGAACGCGTGAGGTTTTGGTGGGCTGCGAAGAGTGAAAGAGAGGAGTTTGGTGTGGGTGCCAAAAATATACGCATCAAAGAACTGCGTTCCTTTGTAAAAGAATATCACAAAGAGACGTATCGAATAGCTTTTCTGTACCTAACAATTAACAACAATGTTGTTATTTCTGACTTTGTCCAGACCTACTTTTGCTTTTGAGGCAGATCCATGGTAACCATCCACATTGCCATCTTTTTAAATCCCTCTTCTGTACCTATATATGCATTCTGTCACTCCTGACAATGTTGGCAATTGGTCAAATCATGTCTCAAGTCTATCGTTTCCATTTCAATTCTACGTAACTGGCGCACGTATTTTCTAGACTTCGTAATGCCAGCTGCTTCCAGCAATAATTGGTCCCAAGCCAGGACCGTATTGCATAACATGGCAACTTCCATTTGGTCCGACGCTATATGTTAAATAACGAAACACACAGCTCATGATCTCGAAGTGTTCAGTAGTGTTACCAATTCCATTTTGGGCGCGGGCTGTTCAGATAATATGGCAACTGTCACACCGGATTGATGGCGGCTGGCAGGCGTTCATTCTCGCCTTGCTTCAGCTGAAATTGTCCTCAAGTCACCTTGGCTATGTGAATGAGGTCTCTCCATGCCCTCGTTGCTCTTTCTTCTTGCATCTTCCCTCTTTGCATCCTCACTCTTGCAACTCTTCTGCGACAGAATCAAAGCATCATCAACCAAATCTTGCTCCATTCATCATTGTTTCGATCGAAGGAATAGAATTACTAAGAGTAAGTCCGACTGTCCGAGTTTCCTCATTGCCGAATTCTTTTCGCCGTTTCCGAAGGCGTTCGATGCACATCACGAGGCCTTGTCCTGCGCAGATGGAAGAGAGATGAGAGGCCTGTTTTGTCTGTCAAGCTCCAAGGGATTGTTACAATCGATCTAGACACTTGAGTTTCTTGATTTCATCCCTGTCTGTGCGCGAGGTCCTGTCTCCAGTGGCACCCAGTTCACGGTCTTTTCTTGCTTCTCAAGGTGTCTTCTGAGAAGATCTTTCGCTGCGCATTCAAGCAAGCCCGACTCCATCCAGCCGTCTTTCGCAGGTGTCGTCATTATCTGTGTAGTGAAACCAGCGTTGCAAGTCAGCATTGCTGATGGATCGAATCTCTTGGTGTTTTGTGTGCCGCGGTCATCGTCTTGAACAGCCATACACGCACCAAAGCTGACAAATTCCAGCAGACAGCTATACATGTCGAGCCCATACACAAACTGAATAACCCACCATCGAGACCATATCACCGACGACACCAATCAAATGGAGTTGTCGTGGAGAACAAAGTACGTAGACCGAATTCATACGCTTAGGAAACCAAGATCTGAATCAATATATAGTCATGGCAATTTCCTTATGGAAGCAGCCTCACGAAGATTGCCCTTCACTTTTGGTGGCTACTTTTCCAGGTCTGCGTCGACAAACCCACATAAAGAGGAATGGATGAATGATAGTGACGACGAATTCCCCCCACAGCTATCGAAGGGGTCGTATCGGTCACTTGCCAACACACATATACCGCCACCCTACGATTCTAGCGATGATGGAGACGACGAAGACGATGATGATGATGATGGTGATGATCATAACGAGAGTCGTTTCATAAACCATCTTGAAGGGTCTTTCATCAACCTTAGCGATCACGTATTCAACGCAGTCGCCGATCGAATTGATCCTTCAGTCTCGGGTCATGTCAGTCCATGCCTGTCAGCGGCTCGACGACCGTCTTCCTCCTTCAATATGACGCATGACGGTCACATCAGTCTACAAGACGCGACATTTCCTGCCTACTTTCAGATGTTGGATGCAAGAATTCAGAGTGGCAAAAGAGGGGAATCATGCCGCCATGAGCAAAGCCAGCCGGTGTTCCGAACAGATGAGAACATTGAGAGCAACGCGGAAAACAGAAACTCAAAGTACCACAATCAAGGAAATGAACAAGAAACCTTTGCCATGATTGAGAGAGAAGACGAAGACGAAGACGAAGACGGGATGACGGACTCGTGCTTGAATCTCACCAACCATCTGGACTACGTCATGTTCCCAACCGCTGAAGTACTCGAATTCGTCCGCGGAGGAGAAATGGAAGTTCTAGAAGACGTCGAGGATGAAGAAGCCTCCTGCAGGCGATTCCCAGGGGAGGAGCAATATGACGAAGATAATAAGGAGCTCGGAAGGGGGCAGTTGGAGAACCGGGGCCGAAGGTGGTTCAGGTGCGGAGTCTTCTCCAAGGACGTGACTCGGCGACTCCACCGACTAAGATACGGATGCTAAGTTCGGCAGAGAAATGCGGAAGTGGCATAATAGGGGAGGGCGGGCTATTTTTGGGGGGGTTTTGTTGGACTTTGCTCCGGAGTGTTTTGGCGATAAACCCGATGATGGGGGCATATCGGGATCTCGCTGGTGGACTTTGAGCTTTGAAGGAGTCGATTAGACGGTGAGCAGTTAATGAGCAGTGAGTCAAAGTCCCTCGTTCTGCTGACAGGGAAATGCAAATGCCGATTTGGGGAAATGGTGCTGGCCTTGTACAGCGTCATGGCGGATACGATGTGGACTTGGTTATCGCAATTCATCACATCAGCTTACCGTATATCTTGCTTTCCACGTGAAAATTTTGTAGAATTATACGCAAATGAATACCAAGTACTATCGTGTATGCTTCATGGCACCATACATGATATCGCTGTAGAAATACGCGGCATAGCATGTGCGTATCGCGACTTCGGATGGCCTCATACGGGACCCTCGCCACACCGTCTTGTCTCAGTGAGACCGACTAACAAACTCTCCTTTTTGTCTTTGCGATACGGATCCAGGAAGATATCTTGATTACATAGTACCAAAATCCCGATGCTACCCAGAGTAATCCACGCTGGTTATCCTACCAAGCATGGCTCTCATAAGCAAGCCCAGCGGCGCCGAGGTTGCGGTTGGCAAAACATCCAGTACTCGTGTGCCGCAGAATGCAGCCAATCAGCCGCATCGCATAACAAACTTGGCCATTCCCGCTCTCCCTTACCGAAACTCTTTCGTTTTCGCCTCTCCATGTAGAAACACAGCCAGGAACGGAATACCCGCGGAATGAAACCAGCATCCTGAGGCAGCAACAAAGAGAGAGAAGGGCAGCACAAGCAGAAACCTTCGAAGGGAAAGCATACAGTACAGTAGAGCATCTCGTTTGCCGACACCGCATGCCGGAATTCTGTCCCTCGGGGCCTCGGAGCGATCGCAGCAGCCCCCCTCCATTGCAGAAGGTGGGTAAAGCCGGGCAGCCCTTGTGCCTGTTTGGCGACACACACACACGGAGAGGCTTGAGGATTCCAAAGCTGGGCGATGACAGAAGCCGCTACTGTCTACCGATTTTGATTTACCCCATAGCTGTCTGGGGGGGGCAGATTGCGGGGTTTGAGACTAGGACACGATGATGTTTAGTTTCATGGGAGACGGTATTGGCTGTTATGCTCGCTATGATGATGTTTAGCTCGAGGTGGATGGTATAGTACCTACCTATATATATCACCGGTTGGGTCAAAGTATCTTGTCCTGGGCATTCGTGGTGTTGTGCTGTGCCATCGACATCGACATCGGCATCAAGTGACGGAGCTGTGCCTGTCCATCCGTCAGCGACGAGAGCCGAAATCAAAAGTCCAATCGCCATCCAGCGATCATCACGGCATTCCCATCCCGGCCATAAGCCCTACCGCCGTCGGTTGGTCAGCGCCGTTGACGACAAAAAGAGGCGCCGTCTCCGCATCCTCGGGGGCTAGTCTGCATATAGAGAGCTTTCCCCTACCGAGAAGAAGCTGCCTCACATTGATCGTCATCTCTTCCCTGTCCAAGACATTTGTTCATTCATTGATTCATTCGCAACAATCACTGTGCCAAGTGTTCAGAGACAACAAAGACAGCCGCCATCATGGCGCTGATTGAATACGCCCTGTCGCCCTGGGCCATTGTTGCCCTTGCCGGAGCGCTGGTCGCATCGTATCTCTACCAGTACTTTGTCACATACGGACCCCTGCGCCGGTTTGCAGCTCCCTTTCCAGCGCAGTTTTCGAATCTCTGGCTCTTGTCTGTCTGTCGTCGAGGCAATCGATACGCTACCGTCGACAAGCTGCACAAGAAGCTGGGCAAGTTTGTGCGGATCCAGCCAAACCACATCTCCATTGCCGATGACGAGGCCATCAACCTCGTCTACGGCCACAACAATGGCTTCTTGAAGTCGTATGGCTCACTCACTTATTCCACAACTTTGAATGCGTCAAGCGCTGACTTGCAGCAGTGATTTCTACGATGCCTTTGTTTCGATTCGCCGCGGCCTCTTCAACACGCGCGACCGCGTTGAGCACACTCGCAAGCGAAAGATGGTTTCTCACACCTTTTCCGCAAAGTCCATTGGTCAGTTTGAGCCGTACATCCACCAGAACCTCCAGTTGTTTGTCAAGCAGATGGACCGTCTGGTCGACACCAGCCAGTACAAGGGCGAGAACGGCAGGAAAGAGACTCGCATCGACTGTCTTCCTTGGTTCAACTATCTTGCCTTTGACATCATTGGCGACCTCGCATTCGGCGCTCCTTTTGGTATGCTTGAAAAGGGAGTTGATCTCGCCGAAGTGCGAGATGCTCCAGACAGCCCGCCCATCTACGCACCCGCCATCGAGATCCTGAACCGCCGCGGCGAAGTGAGCGCAACTCTGGGCTGCTTCCCGGCCCTGAAGCCCTATGCCAAGTACCTTCCGGATCCTTTCTACAGCAACGGCCTCGCTGCCATCCAGAATCTCGCCGGAATTGCCATTGCCTGTGTGAAGCGACGCATCGACAACCCTCCCGACGTCGAACGCAAGGATCTCCTCGCTCGGTTGATGGAAGGCCGTGATGACAAGGGCGAACCCCTTGGAAGAGAAGAGCTGACAGCAGAGGCTCTGACTCAACTCATCGCCGGCAGTGACACGACCTCCAACTCTTCATGCGCGCTGTTGAACTATGTGGTCCGCACTCCCGGCGTCCTCGACAAGTTGCAGGCCGAGCTCGACGCCGCCATTCCCAAGGACGTCCACGTTCCTACTTTTGAAATGGTCCGCGATCTACCCTACCTTGGCGCCGTCATCAACGAGACTCTGCGCCACCACTCGACTTCCGGCATTGGTCTCCCTCGTCAGGTTCCCTCAAACTCTCCCGGCGTCACCATCTGTGGCGAATTCTTCACGGCCGGCACCGTCCTCAGCGTTCCCACCTACACGATACACCACTCCACCGAGATTTGGGGCCCCGATGCCGAGGACTTCAACCCCGACAGATGGGCAACCGTGACCCAGCGACAGAAGGATGCGTTTATTCCCTTCAGCCACGGCCCCAGAGCTTGTGTCGGCAGAAACGTCGCCGAGATGGAGTTGAAGCTGATTGCGGCCACCTGGGCGAGAAGATATGGTGCCAAGGTTCTGCAAGGGCCCATGTTGACAAGAGAGGGTTTCTTGAGGAAGCCTTTGGGGTTGGATATTGCTTTGTACAAGAGGTGATTTTGCCTTGAGGAGGGACACAGCGTGTTGGGATGAGTTTTATCGGGCGGCGTTCTTTTATACATGTACAAAGCAGGTAAATGTCAGAGGGCATGATTGAGCGTTGGTGGTTGGGTAAAACAGTCAGGGGAGTACTTTCTACAATTACATTAGAAGGTAAGGTACCTAGGAATATTTGTATCAATTTCAACTCTCCATTACTTTTTAACAACGATTCGTCTCTCGCAAAACTAGCCCCAACAGGAAACTGATTGTGACAAGGACGAGTCAATTCCGGAGAGGAGCGCTTCCAACGTTCGGTGTGATTGCCGAAACATTCTCATAGTTGTTTTACGCAGTTTCGGAAACAAGCAAATCTCCTCTGTGGCGCAATTGGCTAGCGCGTCTGACTGTTAATCAGGAGGTTGGAAGTTCGAGCCTTCCCGGAGGAGCTTATCGTTTCTTTTTTTGCCCGTTTTTCCTTTTTTTTTGCTGCTGCTATTCTTTTTTTCTTTTCTCTTCGTTGGCGTGGTTGACGAAATCTTAAGAGTCTTTCACAATGCTGGACTACGGTTCAAAGAGTCCATTGCAAGCAAGGTCTTTATTAGTACTCAGGATTTCAAAAACAGAGTTGCAATAAGCGATTCGAGTGATGTGTGTACAGAAGGATTGGTTGCCTATCGATTTGTCTGGAGACATTCCCTGGATCAAGTCACGATTTGTATCAAGTAGTTATCTACATACTACCTCGGTATAGAAAGAGCATAGAATTATTGTTATTCGTAGGCTGTGACCGGTTAAGGCTTTGTATCTGATGCTGTCGCGTGCTCTTCAAAACTGCGCTTTTACTCCACTTGATCTCCTTACTGTAATCATTACTGAAACGTCTATTCTCCAACAGCCAATTCACCAATGACTGAAGTGACTGATATTTCTTATAAAATACACAGCAGTATTCAAACTATATTATCATCAATTCATCTTTCCCAAACCACCCTTTCATCCCCTTGCGTTCCCATTCCCGCCCTCCCAACTCCGAGATCTAGGGTACGCAAACCCGTCTCCGTCTCCACACCACCCACGCCAGCTTCAAAATCGAATCATCGCCTCACCTTCTCCAACAACCAATCAAAGGCACTTTGGCCGAGCGGTCTAAGGCGCCGTGTTCAGGATCTATCTTGCTTCGCGGTCTAGTAATAGGCGAGGGTTCGAATCCCTCAGGTGTCATGAGATTTCTTTTTTTGTTCCGTTGAGGGGATTCCCAGGGTTTAGATATTTTTTTTTGTCGCTGTTGACTTTTTTTCTTTTTTCTTTAAGCGAGTCATTGGCGAATTTGTGCAATGAAATTTACTTTTGATGGCTTTGTCCACACATGGGGCTGTGGAATGAGGTGCAGGTTTAGAGCCTGTGCCGCAACTCGGTCTCAGTCATTTTATCCGCCACAGATTAGCATATTCACGAGCGGAGGACAAATATTGAAGGTAGGCCAATCTCGTGGCCAATCATTACTATAGCAATATGCTGAAAGGGATGCGGTGTACACGCAGAGAGCCTGGAATTCCTGGTATCAGAGTTCCTGAAGCGCGCACAAAACCCAAGCTTTTTGTTGAAAAGATTCTGTATGCTAAAGTTGCTATTCTTTCAGTCGCTTCCACAATGACTACAAGCTCATTCGACAGCCTGTTGAAAAGACCACTCGACTATACTATGTTCAAACCCAGCAGCGAACAAACGGCTGTAGCATCTGCTCTTTGGTCTAAGCCTTCAGCTTGGTCCAGTCCTGCTTCTTGAAATAGTCAAACACGGTATCGAGCTCAACTAGGGTTGGCAACTAGCAATTCCAATGTCAGCGTCGATACACGGATAGTCAAACACAAGAGACACTCACGTCCTTTGGATGAATAATGGTAGGGTCAGCCCGCCCTTCATAGCCATATTCGCTCCAATACGCAAAGTTATCATCCAACTCCAACTTGAGCTCAGGTGGCTCAGTCACCTTGGACTGGCCCTTTGGCAGCTGCACAGCTTCGGTCGGAATACCGATTACCTGGGAAAGGATGGCCGCAACCTCTCGGATAGTGAGCCACTCTCTATAAGCGATAACATTCTTGCCTGCGGGCTCATCGACTAGAGCCTTGACAAAGGGGCCTGAATCCTCTTCAGCGGCAATGAAGGGGAATTTGACGTCTACATCTAGGTTGCCGGTGAATCGGGCAACGCCATCATCTCCCTATGGCCAGATATTAGTATTCGTCTGTGGATTCATACATGATGCCTGTTTACCTTGACAAACTCCAAAATCGGGTTAACGATAAAATTGCTCAGGAACCAACCAGCCTGGAAGATACTCGTCTTCGCCCACAAATCGGGATAAGTCTCCCTTGCGTAGTCTTCCGCCCTAGCCTTGGAGTCAAAATGGTACACATGGGTGTACTTCCCAAAGGACCACCTCGTCGCGTTCGAAAGCGACGAGTACACAAAGCGCTCCAGGGTCGGGAGCTTTGCTACAATGTCAATGACATTCTTCAGCTGTTGGACCTCGTGGTCCGCGGCCCATACGTTGAGCGGCTGTCCTGGCTTGGCCTTGTCCTTGTTGGCTGGATCTCCGTACAAGCCCCAGAAGTCGCTGACGAGGAAGACGGCGTTTGCGCCTTGAAGAGCAGGTTCGAGCGTCGATGGGACATCCATGTCGGCGGCAACGACTTCTGCACCGCGGGCGGCGAGAGCTTTGGCTTTGGCGCTCGAGGGGTTTCGTGTAAGAGCCCGAACTCGCCAGCCAGGGGCAGACAGGAAGACGTCGGCAACCGAGCCACCTTGGTTACCGGTGGCACCAACCACAACGATCAGCTTAGTCGAGGCCATTTTGGGAATTCTCGAAGGTGTAATCTTCGTTGTATTGAAGAGCCTGATTTGATAAGTCTAGACTTGCCACAAACTTGTGAGCTGCCGCTACCTCTTATATCTTTTGCAAAGCAGTTCATGAAGCTGTCCCAGCCCCATCTGCATTATCAGATCTAGATCGACTGAAAGACACGGAGTGATGAGTAATACCACAACGGAAAAGGACCGTCCACAAATCAACTAAATTATTAATTGCTGTAGCAATCAGAAGCTATTTCCGCCGCAATCAACGAGTCTATTCGTCACCAAGACGGGGGCATCGAGGCCGTACGCACGCCTCAATTCGCACTGCCCGCAATCTTCCTTGAACGAGGCGGAATCTTCCGCCGTGATCCGCTTCGCGTCCGCTCTCCGTCCGCTTGCTCGGCGGCCACAAGCGGGAGCTATACGCTCCCGTGGTATCGATAGCAGGGAGGTCTTGTAGTTTGGATCTAGCCTTATTGGAAGGATCTGAGATGTGATCCATTTCTTGGCGAGTCGATGCTGATTACATAAAGTTGAGGGGATTCAGACTCTGAGGCGTAGCGTGAAGCGGACACCAGAGCGGACAGAGAGGCGGATCGCGGGTGTAGAAAGGAGTTGAACAATGGTTCAATTACCCATCAAAGGAAATTGACAGAACTTGAATGACCTCATTTGTAAAATTGATCCATTTAAAGATGGATATTGACTTGACGCAGAGTGATGGTTGGCCTCATATAAGAGGGCTACTGATTCCCCTGCTTCGCTGTATCTTTCTCCAGCTGACACAACTTCTGCTGAAATTTTGATCAAATTTGTTTCAAATCACGCAAAATCATGGCTTCCGCTGCCTTATCCAAGAAAATATGGTTCATCACTGGCGCGTCCTCGGGTCTCGGCCTCAACATGGCCCTAAGCGCCCTCCGTGCTGGTCATCGTGTCATTGGCACGGGGCGGAATATTGAAAAGGCTTCTTCTGAGCACCCAGAATTCGCCAAACTTGGCGGCCAATGGCTCCAGCTGGACGTTGCCCAGCCCGATGCTGAGCAAACCATCCGACGACTAGTCGCTCAAGAAGAGCAGCGACTCGGCAAGGAGAAGGAGTCGGCCCATTGGGTTGTTGTGAACAACGCTGGAAGCACTTTGATCGGAGCGGTGGAAAATATGAGCGATAGTCAAATCCAGCAGTACCTGCAAGCTAATCTGCTGGGTGTCATCCGCGTGTGGAAAGCTTTGCTACCGACTCTACGTCGCAACAGAACCGGAACCCTCATCAGCATATCATCCATCTTTGGCTTCGCCCCCCGGCCAGAGCAAATGATCTACAGCGCTGCAAAGGCGACAACTGAGTCTCTGACCGAGTCATATGCTACTCTGCTAGAGCCACATGGCATCAGGACTATGATTATTGAGCCTGGAGGGTTTAGAACTCCTTTCCCGGGCAACAACTCCAAGGCAGATGGCGGCGTTTCAGAAGACTACAAGCAGCCAATCCAAGCTTGGATAGATTTTATTGGCGAGGCGTCGAAAGACTTGACTCTTGTGAATGGAGATCCAGCCAAGTTTGGCGACAGGGTAGTTGATGCTGTTGAGAACCGGGGCCTTTTTGAGAGCATATGGGCCCAGCATGACAGAAGCAAGGCCCTGAGAGTCCAACTGGGGTCAGATTGTTATGGACTATATGGACAGACGCTTAGCGACTTGCAGAAAGGGTATGAGAAGATGGCTGAAGTGGCAAAGTCGACGGATGTATGAGTGGTGCTGAAATTGTTAGGGAATGCCAGCGTTAGGTATTATTCAAAAGAGCTGTATTCGAAATGAACATTAGCAATTCTCTCTACAGCGTATTTCAGCTTCAAATCGATCAAGTCTTACAGGAAAAGGAATCTATGTGCCTCGTCATACAAGATGGAGTATAATTATCTAGATGATGGGGTTAGTGTGGAAGATGCATCCGTGTCAACAGTGATCAGGCTCAAAACACCAGCTTGTTGCAACAGCGCAAGATACTCCGTTGCAATCCTCCATTTTTCTCCAGTAGACTTTAGCTCTCGTACAACGTCTTCCAAGGCGCTATACATCTGTGGCTCATGATCTTCTCGCACAAACCACGCACACTCCGTCGCCACATGGTATAGGCATTGCGTTATGAGTGGGCATTCGATATTGGCGCGTGCGATTGCAGGCATAACATCGAAAGAGATGGATTTGATTCCGTGGAGGCTAACGCTTTGCATCTCCGTCTCCATGGCGATCCGACTTTGCTCGATGAGAACGAGCGGCTCGTTACAGCCATACATGTTGTAGAGGAGAAGCTGAGCAGAGCAGCACAAAGAAAGCGAAATGATGCCGGAGATGGAAAAGTCGGAAGACGTTGTTGCAGAAATGTATTCTTTGATGGAGAGATGCAACGCCGACAGCGCTGCATGAAGGGATACGGCTTCGGGAAGGAGACTCCCAACATCCTGCAAGGAACGTTTGCTCGCCCTGTGAGACATGACTTTGCCGAGCATATGAGCAGCCTGGCACATCTTGGCGAAAGATCCCACAGCTGTCAGGCTGCTAAAAGACATGGTGAACAGCGGCTCGCTGGGGACAATTTTCCCTTCGTCCCAGTCCTCATCGTTGATCGGCAGCAGCTCGTCTTGAACAGGTTCGGGAACGGTAAATGGTAGATTTGTTTCAATATTCATAAGCCTATGAATGAGCGTTAGACAACGGATCTACTGAATAGAAATAACAAAGAGGCAAATACCTGTCAAGCAAGAATATTGCCCAAGACGTCCTGCGTTGCTCTTCCCGAAGGGTCCAGGTCTCGGCGGGTTTGAACAATTGATTGTTCTTCCGGTCATGTATACCCAAAAGAATACCTAATCTCGACGCGCGCCCAAGCGTCAAGTATGCGCCAGGATAAATGGCATGCGACAGCTCGTAGACTGCCAGCAGAACGAGAGACTGGACGAGTCTTAGGGATACAAAGCCCGCTGATTCTGCTTCCGAACAGAGTGATCTAGCAAGCAAATACCACGATGAGGTCTTGGCACACTCTCCATCCTTTGTGCTGAATGCTTTGATGCACAAGAGAAAAATGGCAAGGCAGCCGTCGACTTCCGCTGGATCGCTGTTGAGCTCGTTAAGGAGGCGCTTCCGGCTGACCATGGGCAGCCATTTATGCACTGTCTTGAGGTACTCTTCACAGAGCGCCACCCGATCATCATCAAGATGTTCGGCCACTACCTGGTGGAGCTGTGGATTTTGACTCCAAGAGAGAGAGTTGAGCCCCTGGGGAGACAAACACTCCGAATCCAGGAAAAAGGGCAGCGGAAAGGCCTCCGCTGGCCGGGGGAAGAAGGCGGCAGCACTGATACCCGGCAGGCTCCTACACGGAGAGACCCCATCAACGTGGAGAATACTCTCAATGTGACTAAGCCTGGTAGAAATGGTTGATTCCGAGGCTGCAGTTTCGGCGTACTCGCAGGTCTTGCCGAGGCGGTAGCACTGCCGTGGTCGTTAGTTGCTGGGACGTTGGCCAATGAAGCTGCCGCTGAGGGAGTGACTAACCAGAGCACATGTAGGAACTTCACGAGTACATTTTCTCTTCAGGCGACTGCAGTGAATGAATCGTGTCAGCACCCAGGCCGTTGGATAGAGATAGGAGGCGATGGTGAAGGAGTGGATCATATACCGACAGGCTCGACAAGCTTGAGAAGCATAGACTTTTGGCGGCATCGCGTTAGAGTGATGAGAGAGTTGCTGGAGACAGTACGGGTTGTTCCTCCTTGAGTCAAAGATATTCAACTTGTGACTATCTGCTTGTTTTTGTTTGAACAATCCATGTCTGTTATTTTCGCGGAGTTAAAGTTGAAGCTTGGGCTTAGGCCTTCCGCTGAGTAACGTAACTCGAAAGCTAGCTGCATGTGCTGAAGAATGCGCGCCGATTAGTCATCACTAATTCCGGCTCACCTCTGCTCATTCAATCATGTCCATGTCATCTTACAAAGATGATGGCGATAAGAATAGGTGCTGAGACCGGGGAAATAGTATAAGATCATGCTTGATTAAATGTAGCTTAGCCTAAGTCGTTCCCGGGATGGACTATTTCCCTTCAGTGAGTTATGCATAATCTCATAGGTGTGTGTATGATTTATATCTCTGTTCCACATTTCTCTTTTCAAGAATTACGGAACTTTGAAGGGCAATACGTTGAGTGACTAAGGAGGCTGAGCTCACCCCATTAGGCGGTAATCAAGACAAGAGGACGTTAGTTGATGAGTCCCCTCTCGGACTTTGCGTTGAAAGAGAAATTGCGAAACTACGTCAACGCTTGCTCCATAGTGGAATAAATAATAATGAAAAGGAGTAGGAGAGAGGGAGACAAAAAACGGAACAAGAGAAGAAGAAGAAAGGAAGGGGAGGAGAGAGAGGAGGGGGAAAGTCACAAATATTATAACCGCAAAATAGTACAGACTATTTCGCCTCGTCCTACTATCTCATTGGGGTTCTAGCGGGCTTTATCGATTGAGAGAGACTATTTCGTTGGTGATGGCGAGACAAATTAACGGTATAACGGCAAGAGACAAATTAATGGTCGCCTGACAGCACTCATAGGAGTTGGCATGGCTCTGCGTTGGGAACTCGGCCTACTCTTCGGATTTTGCTCTCCTATCTCCAGTGCTGAATAGCCCAAGGCCGTGATGAAGTCATACGCTGCTCTTTTGCAGTTTCATTGCCAAGCAGGATACTACACATACTGGGCTGTGAAGAATTGCGTATGTGACACCATCAGGCAGACATTGTGCTGTATAAAGTAGAATCCTTTGCGGCAATAGCATATTGTAAAACCCGGTCACCACAGAGCCCAGCAATAATTTGTATGATCAGGCCATGGCGATATCGTTCTATAAGTCGTAACGCGATCGGGTTTTAACTATTTCGGAGTATAAGCGTTAAACTCCTATAGATGACTCTACATTTATGTCCGAATTGACGTCGTGTATTCGGCGTTGTCGTACGAAATGCCATGGATCACAGACGAGCGGACTGTCCGCTCCAAAAGGGTACCCACTCTCCGCTCCGTCCGCTCTGTCCGCTCCAGGCGATCGCATCGGATATAGCTTCATATTTTTGTAAAAGAGATATTGGCCATTGTGTATATAAGTCGATGAAGGATAAGAACTGTCGTGATGATTCAAAACTCTCAAACCAGCTTCGTTTTCGAATATACACCAACCCTCTACTTTTCACGTCATATCAGTTTCTATCGCAATGGCACCTCTCGTTTGGCTCGTGACTGGATGCTCTTCCGGCTTTGGACTAGACTTTGTCAATGAGATTCTCAGTCGTGGCGACAAAGTAATTGCAACCGCTCGCCGGCCGGAAAGTCTCGAGGATCTGAAGAAGACGGGCGCTGCGGTGCTTCAACTGGACGTTACCTGGGACCAGCAGCGTATCAACGAGACCTTCAAAAGCGCCATCCAGATCTATGGCCAGCTAGACGTCCTCATAAACAATGCAGCCTATGTCTTGGGTGGTGCATGGGAAGACCTTTCGTACGAGTTCATTCCCATATTTGGCTAATGAAGATGGAACAAATGCTGACACTTTGATAGCTACGAACAGTTTCACGATGCATTCGAGACAAACGTCTTTGGACCCCTGAAAACCACTAAAGCCGTGCTGCCCCATTTCAGAGAAAGAAAGACTGGTATGAATGTCTTTATCAGCTCGATTTCGGGGTGGAGCGGGATGCAGTTCAACGGAGGATACTCTGGAACCAAGTTTGCACTTGAAGGTAAGACTTTCACCCGGAGCACTCCAACGAAGTAGCATGAACCTTCAATTACTCACATTATAAACAGGAATGGTCGAAAGTTTGAACAAAGAAGTGAGGGATCTCGGAATCCGAACGCTGCTGATAGAACCCGGCTTCTTCAGGACCGACCTCCTCTCACAAGCCAATCTCAAGACTGTGGAATCAAGCATCCCGGATTACAAGGAAGCGTCCAAGGGTTTCAACAAGCTACTCCAGGAGAAGAACCACGCACAGAGTGGTGACCCAAAGAAAGGAGTGGCCATTGTCGTGGACCTCGTTCGACAAGAAGGGACTGCCAAGGGCAAGACGATTCCTGTGCGCATGCCGCTTGGACCTGATGGTTACGAGGTCATCAAGAAGAAGTGCGACAAGACGATTCGGCTTTTGGAAGAGTGGAAGGATGTCATCTCCAGCACTGATTTGGTAGAGTGAACCAGTTCAGGATACTCAGCTTGCGCATTTGGAATTTATCCTTCCTACAGAAAAAGTTATGACTCTTAGCTAGCCTATGATCGATATAGAAGAATAACATACAGAGTTAAAAAGTCTAAAAGTTTTCGGACCTTGTTTTCTTCATCGTACATGTACATTTTGAACCTCTCAAACGTCTGGGCCACTCAACGGCTCGTTCGATTTATTAATCCACACCGTCTTCAAGTCGGGCATCTTCTCAAAGCCCTCGTCAAAAGGCCACATGGGCCTCCGTATCCGATGATGGCCCAGCCTCTTTAAATCTTGGTCAACGCCCCCTGGCGTTAGCCCAAGCATCCAGCCTTTTGCCATATCGTACAATTGTGGCTCAAGGTATCCAATCTTTACAATGACAATATCGGCGGATCGTGGGGTGAGATTTAGATCGGTAAAGTCCTTTTCTTTGTGGTATGGCTTTCGCAGTTTGGTCAAGATGGCGTATACTGACCCAACTTGCAAGACAACTTCGGTTACTGCATCGCGATCGCCGTGCTTGATGGAGTGAACCCGACCAGTCATTGTGAGAGGAGGTGCGTGTAGGTTGTCGACGTCGGCTCCAGCAGTCACAGTGACAGTTGCGCCAACACCTGCTGCAACGGCCGTCTCAATCGCCTTGGGCCCTGGAACGCTCGCATAAATGACTGTGTATCCGGAATCAGGCGACTTGAACTCGGGCCGCTCAAGCAATCTCGTCAGTCCCCAAGTCATGTCTCCCGAGCCGCCAGCCGTGGGATTATCGCCTGAATCAGAGATGAAGTATGGACGCTCCTCGGGAGGCGATTTGACGGCAGCATCCAGACACTCGGCGAAACTGCCAGTGGGCGCAACAAACTTGAAGTCAGCCCGCGCATCCCAGAACAAGTTGGCCAGCTTCTCTGCTCCTCGAGAAACTGCCGCTTCATCCCATCCGGTGACAACAATGGCGGCACGGTTTCGCGGCTCGTCAGCCCAGGCATAGCCCACCCATATTGCCGCATCCAAGACGCCATCTTCGGCTTCCACTTCTGGTACTGCGGCGTAAATGTGCTTTGCGGGTTCAATCCGCGTCGAGGTCTGCTCTCCAGGAAGCAGAATAGGCACAGGGATCCACGCTTTCAACGGTCGAGCTCCAGGCTCTTTCCCCTGCAAGATGTTGACGAGGTTACGGCACGCTCGCTCTTTGGTGTCCATGGCATCTTCGTGCGGTGCCATGCGGTAGCAGGTGATGAGATCGCACATGTGCGCCAGCTCCCGCGAGACGTTGCCGTGCAGATCCATCGACGCCGACACAATGACATCTGGGCCGATGACAGCACGAACGCGCCTCAGCAGCTCGGCTTCCACGTCGTCCAGCTCTTGCACGCACATGGCGCCGTGGATGTCGAACCACAAGCCATCGACCTTGTTCTCCGCGACAATCACCTGCAGCCTTTCCACAATCTCCTTGGAGAGCGTCTCAAAGGCCTCGCGAGTCACAATGCCTCCGGGAAGCGCATGTCCGATGAGCGCGCCCTTCCACTCTGCCTCTATCCCCAGCGGCTTATCGGCATGGAGGAAGTCGTATCGCTCGACAATCTCATCGCCGCGCTTGGGGTGGAAGGCCGGGGCCAGCGTGACGGCGGGCGAAAAGGTCGATGTCTCGCAGGCAAGGCCAGCAACGGCGATAACCGGATGTTTCGACATGTTCTGGTTGGCTGACGACTTGCTGACCGTATCTCTGCTAGCTAGCCCTGGTGCGATTGCTATGCTATCCTCCTCCACCCTTCTTATAGCCTCGCAGGTGTTATCCAGATGTTCGAGAGGGGCGGGGCGGCGAGGGCTAGTTGTCTGTTGTCTGTTGTCTTCTTGTCCTTGTTCTTTTATCTTGACGGTTTCGTGTCATCAATATGGAGCCTTGGTTATCACTAAAGGCCGTTTATCCGCAGCCGTTGCTTCGAGTGAGACGAGGCTAGACTCGATCCAAGTCTGGTGATCAGTGGGGGAACGGCGCGGGGTATCACGACCAACAAGCTTGAGGTTTTTAGATAAGTAAAAGATTGTCCGTAAATGGAAATCAAATGCAGGTCTGCCACTTTTACCCGACGGAGGCTTGACCTGGCTAAGTCGAACCGGCCAATCTGCGATGAGGGATCAAGACGGGCTTCACGATATCTGGGGATCAGCCATCAAGACTTCTCCATCGGGTGGCGTCCCGCTACGCTGCCGGTACCCGATGAACCCCTTCGGCGAACTTTTGATGGGAAACTGTTAGCTATCAGGCGGTCTGGTGGTGCCAATGGGCTGGTTTTGCTCACGTTGCATTTGTGAGTTGGTTGGGCAAGCCTTTGGATATGCGTATGTAAGATGTCTGATATCTGCCGAGGGCCCGCTGCCGGGGATGAGGGGAGGGATGGTTGCAGATGATTAATATGGAGGAGGAGCGATAGAGGTCGAGAGGAATTAAATATTAATGCGCCAGCACTCGTCAGTTGAACTTTGACTGATGCGACACCTTCAAGTATCGGTATAGCTACATGTACTTATAAATTTGCTGAGAGCAAGACAAAGCGTACACGATGCTTCGCAGCACTCCAACGGGGACTTGGATCCCGGCCTGGGTCCCGGAATCCACCACCACCGTCTCTGTTCTTCTGCTGATCTGCTCCATGGTTCAGTCCGCAACTGGTGGCTACGACGGCTCCATGCTCAACGGCCTGAACATTTTGCCTTCATACACAGACTACTTCAACTTGAACAGCGCTACTACCGGCCTCAACACCGCGTCCGTCTTTATCGGCGGCTTCTTTGGCCCGATTTTCGCTGGTGTCATGACTGATCGGCTTGGTCGTCGTCCCGCCATCTTCTGGGGCTCAGTGGTCACGCTATTGGGCATTATTTTGCAAACCGCAGCACAAAACATTGCCATGTTTGTCGTGGCGAGAATCATCCTTGGATGGGGTAGTGCCATTTCGTCCGTTGCAGGCGCCGTCTACCTGAGCGAGACATTTGCGAGCAGATATCGCGCGTGGGGTGTTGGCGTATGTGTTCACCTATTTTATCTCACTCAACCAGGCAAAGAAAGTCGTTCTTGAGAAGCTGACCATTCATTTACCGTTCAGATTCTGAACAACTTTTACTATGTTGGTTCGCTAATCGCTGCCGGAGTCACCCTTGGCACAGGCCAGTGGCAGTCTACGTGGGCCTGGCGTCTTCCATCGCTGCTCCAGGGAATCTTCTCCTTTGCTTGTATTCTGGTGCTGCCTTTTATTCCTGAATCGCCCCGCTGGCTGGTTAGCAAAGAGCGGTACGAAGATGCGCGACTCTCTGTCGCTCAGACCAACGCCGATGGCGACATAACTAACCCGGTTGTGGTGGCCGTCTACAAAGAGATTGTCGACACTCTTGAGTGGGAGCGGAAAAACGGTATGACGATGAGTCCCAGGGAAATCATCAAGACTCCGACGGCGCGAAAGAGAACCTTGATCGGGGCATCGGTCGGACCCTTTTCATGCATTGCTGGAAATGTCATCGCATCGTATTACCTTGGAAATGAGCTGGACACGGCGGGCATCACAGACTACAATGACCAGCTCAAGGCCGTAAGTCTCTTGACCCACGCCTCGGGGAAAACTGCTAACCGTCTGTATAGAATATTGTCCTCAACGTCTGGTGTCTGTTCTGCGCATTTGGAGGCACTCATTTGGCGGCGGTATGGGGTCGAAAGCCCACTGCGCTGCTTTCACAGAGTCTCATGATCGTGTGCCTCTTTATTATCGGCGGCTTGTCCAAGATGTACGCAGACAACCCGGATGGTGCCTCTACCAGTTTGATCTACGGAGATGTTGCCGTCATGTTCATCTTCCAGGGAATCTACTCCATTGCCTTTACCCCCTTGCTCTACCTTTACCCGCCAGAAGTAATGAACTACCCTATTCGAGCCAACGGATTGGCATTGGCTAATTTCAGTTTGAATGGATTGGCGTTAGTATCCTCAAACATGCGTCTTTGTGTCCTTCAGCTAACCCTTGGTCTAGTCTCCTCCTCACGTTCGTGATGCCTATTGCGCTGACCAACATTGGATGGAAAACGTACATCATCAACGGCTCATGGGACATTATCACGCTTGTCCTCATTGTAAGACACCCCACCAGCTCTGATGCAGTGTATTTCACAGTGCTAACGCAGACTAGGCCGTCTATTGGGTAGAGACAAAGGGCAAAACCTTGGAAGAAATCGACGCCATCTTTGAGGGAGAGAAGCATTCGTCGGTGCCCGACATTGAGGATATTCGTACTGGTAAAACGACTGTGGATGTGACACAGATAGAACTTGAACTTCACGACGAAATCGGGCTGAAGAGTCACGAGGCTTAAGAGACGAGCGAGTTCGCTATAGTGTTTTTCTTCATATATCAGAACTACAAGTAGTTTATTGCCATCACGATGAGTAATGATCAAGCAGCTTGATGAAAGCAAAGTATTTACTATAGTCAAGTAGCAAGTGGGTGAGAATAGGTTAAGAATATTACAACTATCAGCCAGAGAAAGTTTGCAGCTTCCACTCGAAGAATATAAATATACAAAATCCAAAATAAGTGCACCACCCCATTCTAACCTCCAGCTCAAGCGCAATCAAACTCATGAAAACGCAATCTATTTGCTGACCACCACCCCCCCCTTTATAATTAGCCCCTTGCATTGATGCTGTGTCCAATTCTACCCGACGCCCTCCACGAATATGCACCAAGCCCTTAGTATGCAGCCAGGCCGGAAGCACCATCTGCAACCGGGATGCTGCCCTTGCCGAATGATCCACCAATGGACTGCAGAGAGCCGTCAGCCCGGATCTTCCATGCAGCAATGGCGCCGCTGCCACGGAGCAAGTTGTAAAGGTAAGTGCCATCACTGCTAAGAGCGAGATCGACGGGCTCGCTTCCATCTCCAGGGAGGGCGGCGTCACCCTTGATCAGGGTGGCGGTACCGTTCTTGGCAACAGAGTAGCTGGAGATGGCGCTGGTGACGAAGCTGGCAGTGTAGGCGTACTTTTCGTCAGGGGTAACGACGACCCAGCAGCCGTCTGTCTGTTGGTTCTTCTCGGACTTGGTGAGGGGCTCTAGGACGGGGGCCTGGCCGCCGTGCAGCTTGTACGTGGACAGACCTGCGTTGCCGAGAGCAGGCAGGCCGGATTCGACAACGTAGAGGTTGCTGGATCGGCCAAAGACGGCGCCAAAGGGACGGAGACCGCTGGATGAGATGGAGGTGAAGGGTGCCGGGCTTGCGTGTCCCGTTGATCCCACAGTGAAGATGTCGATGGTGCTGCCGACTTTGTTGGTGACAATGAGGGAGTGGCCGTCAGGGGAAAATGCGACGGTGCCTGGGACACCAATCGGGTTGCTGGTGGCAATGGTGGAGTTTGTAATGGGCGAAAGAAGACCAGTGACCTTGTTCACCTTGAACCCAAAGATGCCCGTTGAGGCGACGGAGCCGTCAAGCACGTAGGCAAATCCACTGCTGCTCAGGGAAATGGAAAGGGGCTGATCACCGGCATAGATGGACTGGATCCTCTTGAGGTTGGATCCGTTCACCTCGAAGACGGTGACATGGTCGTTGGCCGGGTTGACGGCGTAGAGGAACCTGTGGTCAGCGCTGAGCTGAAGGCCCCCCTGAGTGTCAAAGTCGACCCCCTGGCCGTTGCCACCGGTGGGATAGATTCCGGTCTTGACCAGAGTGCCGTCAGCGCTGCGGGAGAAGGCAACGACTTGGTTGTTGACGGCGTTTGTCAGGGCGAAGACGGCGCCTTTGCTGCCTTGGTTGTAGCTGGGAGCGGCCAAGGCAGCAGAGAGGCCAGTAAGGCTGATGGAGGCGAGAGTAGAGAACTTCATGTTGATTATGAGGATTGTATGTCAAAAGGGGAATTATAAAACGATTGTAGAATTGATAGAGATTGTGGTTGTTGAATGAAAAGATTGTTTGCGAGGAGAGGAAGTGAATCTTGTGATGATGGAGCAGATGAGAGCAACTTCGAGGAATCACTACCATCATTATATACCGTGAGTCCCTCTACAACAGCATAGTTGATCCAAATTAAATTCCGCCATATTGGTGCCCCAATATCTCACCAACACGTCAACCTTGATGACAGTGGAGTTTGAAGTCTAGGGTCTGAAGGGAACAAGGCTGAGCGGCTGAGCCCAACACGGAGCATCGTCAACTCGCAAATAGACCAGTTTCCACAAAATGATTCCACGACCCAAGTCGGAAACTATCCTCTGCTTGATAATTTAGGCCAATCCCCCTTTCAGAAATTACCCCTTTGGGGCGGTCCAGCAAGTTTTCCTCGTGTAAAACGTTGACATCATAATCGGCTGGCCTTGCGTTTCTATTTCCGCACCAATTCGGACCAACCAGGGCAAGCTGTGGCTAGTACTGCAATTCGAGCAAATTAAGGTTGTTTAACAAAGCGCTGTCAGCACTCAATGGCGGGAAAATTCGCACAGCTTTCAGCCACGGGAGAAGCCTGTCAAATTTGCCCGGGGAATTCACCAAGAGCGCTGCCCAAGCCACTCAGCACGCCAACCCCCGAGATCTGCACCCGATGCGGTGATTCCAAATTCTATGTGTCAAGCTTATATCAGCACAACGTCGCTCTTTAACCACGGCCCGCGACTGTCTCTATTTAGTTGTTTTTGTTTTAGCCAGGGGTAATAGTTTCGAGGGTTGCGAAAGTCTCATATTCTGGAGTCTTCGTTCGAATCGGTCGAAAATGTCTTGGGAGGTGGGATTTCTGTTCGGACGAATGTGAAATCATTTGGCGATGCGGCGACTTTTGAACTCGCTGACAAAAAACAATGTTGAACATATATATCAATCAGAATAGCCTTAAAAATCTCTGTTCATCTAATTAATTCGATTTGTATTCGAAAAGCTTCACATATTCTAGGACATAGCAAACAAAGAGATTTGCTGTTCACCCAATAGCCCTGCGCGCAAAATCATAGAACTCAGTTTACAGCTGCCCAATTTTTCCCTCTCCAGCTCAGGCTTCAGCAGCATCTCCGCGGAAACATGGCCCCTCAGGCATGCATAACTCCACCAATCCTGGGAAATGCTCAGAACTAATTATATCTCTCTACTAGTTTACCGTCTATACTTCTGCAGCCTCGCAGTGGGCCCAGGTGGCGCATCTGGCATTGGCCCAGAAAGGCGTCTCTGAAGACAAATACGACATCAAGGAGATTGCACTCAGTAAGACCTAAGAACCAAAGATTGTCCACCTAGGTACATGTGGTAATAACGTTTGCAATCATCCAGTGACGGGAGGCAATTTCGATCCCGAGTATATCAAAGTCAACCCCAACGGCACCGTGCCCAGCATCACTTCACCATCGCTCGACAAGCCGCTGATCCAAAGTTTGGACGTGCTTCGATACATTGACGCGTTTGAAGGAGAGAGCACTTTGGTGCCTTCAGATCCCGCTGTCAAGGCCAAGGCGCAACCCATCCTCGATCTTGTCCACTCGGATGATGCATCAACAAACACGATTCTCCTCCTTGCGAGAGACGACGAGGAAATGAAGGGCAAACAGACCAGCTTCTGGAAAGACTTTGTGGGCGATCGACAGGCGAGACTTGAAAATGAGCAGGCTGCTGACCCAAACCACCCCTTCTACGGACCCAAAGTGCAGGAGAACGGCGGTCTCAACAAGTTCTACACCACAGAGATTGGAGAGGAGCATAAGAAGTTCTTCAAGAACTCGGACGATGCCTTCAAAGCGTTTGCTCAAGTGCTAGACAAGCTCGACTCGCTGCTGGTTCTGCCGTATGCAGCTGGGGATGTTGTCACCGAAGCCGACTTCCATGCTACTGTTTGGCTGGCACATGCTCTGTTTGGAGCAGGCACTGATGCAACTCAAATCCAAGATTTCAGTGTTCTGGAGAAATTGATTCAGAAATCAGTCCCAAGCTTCACGATTGGTGACAAGACAAGACAGTGGTGGGCGTCCATCGCCGCCACTGCTGCATTCAAAAAGGTGTATCCCACATTGCATTAATCGTGGGTTTGAAAAAGGAAGTGCATGGTAGAGTGGCCATTGCAAATGCTAGCAGTACTAGAAGACATGTTTGCCTGATGCATAATCTTCCACTCTATGTGGGCATCAAACCCGATCGCTTCCATAGATAACCTCTGTATATCTCCCAAAATACTAAGTCATATGATCCATCCTTGTTCTTGACAAAAGATAATCCATCACCACCATCTGAAATCGTCCCTGTTGTGGGGGGTATCGTACGGGTCTTCTTCTTCAGCTTCCTTGGGAGGAATATCGGTCGAGCGTTCTGCTGCAGAGGGAGAAGAATCTTGCGAGATCCAAAGGTTCTCGAGGCTGGATGCAACATCGTCCAGAGTGGCCGAGCCTTTGCTCGATCCATCGTCGTCGGTGGCGTTCACGTCCTTTCCAGAAGATGTTAGAGGTACTAGCCACCTAAATTCAAGAAAGGGGGGGGGGGTGGTTGAAGTGTATCAGGAGGGTTGCGAGATTATGATTTAGGAGGGAGACAAACCGTGGTGGCTCCCGAAGAAGAGGCCTCGTTGCGAGAGGCTGGCTCTGGCTCGCTGTCATGGCCATCTGAGCTCTCTCCAATCTCGCCGATGATGTCGATCTTGATCTCGCCATCGGTCTGGTTCCAGACAATCTGGCCAAGCGGCGAGGGAGGGTGCAGTCGTCTGCCGGGGACAAGGAGCTCGATGTGAGCGGCTCGAAGCTTTCTGGTTTGCTTGAGGTTATTCGCAAGTCTGACGATAGCAGCAGCGGATTGTCGAGTCAAGCCAAAATATTCGAGCTCGACTTCCACCTCCTCGAGGCTCTTGATTCTTCTCTTCTCCGACATGGTAAACCAACAGAAATCTCAGCTAGATGGCGGATTAAAAAGAACGAAAATGACGATACGTCGCGAAGAAGAAAGGGAAGTCGATGAGTTGTGTGGGTGGGAAGTTGTTTGTTGTAGTGAAGGTGTAGCAGTGGAAGATTTCGAGCCACAGGGCAGCTGCCAGGAGACTTGGAAATTTCCCAACACGTCGGGATACACGCGTCAAGTTCACTTTCTACGCAACCAGTATTTACGGCACCATGTTTTCAGTGTTTATTTGCTTAGTTATTACAATTCAGTGAATGCATAGATTAGGCCTTCTATGGCAAAATTAAGTCCTCTTCCCGAAGCTGTATCCATCCAACTCCGTAAAGCAACAAAACCCCTGAATCACTGTCCATTGACCTCCCAAGGCCACATTTGCCATCCTCTAGCTAGAAACATTTCCACTCAATTTTGCACAGTTGCGGCCTTGAGAAAGTTTTTTGCCGCGGCGATCTGGGGCAGGTTGAACTTCTTCTTCTGCTGTCCCTGGGGAACCACTGGCTTCTGTCGTTTGACAGGACTCTGGGTTCGAGGAGACGCAACGTGCTTCTTACGTTCTGGAGTCTTGGCTGAGGCATTGGCCCAGATGCTGGCCTGCAGGCCAACTTTTCGACCGAGACCACCGTTATCCTTCTTCTTCGTGCTCTCTTGAGACAAGTTACTGGTCAAACTACCATTGCTGCCGTGGGTGGCGTTGCTCGAGGCCTCTGAAACATTATCGTCGGCAACTTCCTCGCGAGGGCTGGTAGTGTGAGGCTCGTCGCAGATATCGACATCCTTGTGTTTGCCGATGTCGACAGCCGAAGTATGCTTGATGATGATGGGGCTATCGTAGCTCTTCTCCCGAGTAGTCAACATCGTGTGATAGGGACACTCTCCTTCGCCATTCCACAGACTCTTGATAACCTCGTTGAAAAGTTGCAAATCTTCGGGAGACTTGACAGCCGTTCTGGTGAGGAGAGGAGACTCGATGAGTTCCTCGTTCGATCGCCTATCGCCGACCTCTTCTTCGCGGACAGTGCAGGCCACACATCGGATTGATTTTAAGGCGGTGATGGGGACGCCTTGGGTAGAAGGAATGCTCTCAAGGGTACCACAAGTTCCGACGAAGCAGATACAAGAACCGGTGGCCTTGTCACATACTTGGCGGCGTTCAACTACCAGATGGAGCTGTCCGCAAGTGAACGACATTGAAGGCGCTTTCTCAGGCGCACAAATGGCGATGGTGGTGAACTCCTTGCACATGTTGAAGTCTGACACCAGGATGGAGTGGTTTCGTGCGATCGTTGATGATAACAAGGTTGATGATAGCTGAGATGGTTCTGGATAGTGAAGAGATGAAAGATGCAGATGTTCTATCCAATGTTGATGGAAAACTGAAGATGGATAGAGAGCTGTGAAATAAAAGAGGAAGAGGGAGAAGAGAAGAGGGAGAAGAATCGAGAGAGGTCCTTGCAAGGGGCATAGAGGAAAGCTCCAGCGTGCTGCTAGCAGGCAAACGAGTGCTGGAGCCTCTGTGCGCAGCGGCCCAGTGGCTGGCACACACTGCTGAATTTTCGAAGCTCTCTATAGAGATCAGACGAAGAATCTCCGCTGAGCTTTCCATCCTGAAGAGCAGCTGTGGATCGTTTCCCTTGGCAACTGAATTGTATTGGTCGTATTCGGGGACGAATCTTGATATCCCCATTGAAGCCGTTTGTCTGGGTGGAACTGGGGGGAGTGACTGGATTGGATATGGAAGCATCGTGAGAAATTACATCACCACTGCTTCAGAAAAGGCAGCGGGGGATGAATGACCAATACGTTTGACTGCATCAGTATTCAACTGTCTAGTCATAACTAACATGCCGTGAACAAGCTTATAGTACGTGAATAAAGAGAGGCTTGTAGTATGCGAAAGAAGGACGTGATGTTGGTTTCGTAGTTACCGACTGAAGTGCAAGAATAATTCCACAGCAGCATGTCCTATGCATACAGCCCATCCAAACAATTGGAGGCGAGGTTCCAGCAGAAGAGACACATCCCCTAGAAAAAATGATAAAATCATGAAATCGTATGCCGTGAGCTCAAAGCCGTGACCATGCAGAATTTCCAGAGCTGTCCGTGATATCACATCACCAGACATTGATCCAACCTGTCCTACCACAGCCACACAGCCACGGCAAAGTCCAATTTAGGCATACATACAGTCTATGCTATGGACAATTCAAGCCATCGAATCAAAGACTCGTATAGGCTTTCTAGAAGAAATTTCACAAAGCTGTACCTGTACCGACAGCCACCAAACCGCCCCGTCGGGCCAGCTCAAGAACCTTCTTCGCAGTGGCTGCCGGCCAATTATCACGCCAAACAACATCGAAGCAACAAAGTTCCGACTAGATGCCCAACAACTGTCATCTCAACCATAATGCTCTTGAAAAAAGACTCAACGAAGCATAATATAAATTGTCCATAGTGATGTATTTATTGTCCATAGCGAGGCTGTCTGTCGCGTTGTGGAGCTCTCCGATTGGGGGAGATGGGCTGATCAGCCACAACGGCCAGATTGGGATATCGCGATGGGAAATGATAAGGATTGGACAAGGGTACTTCCCCAGGTTTCTTCGAGGCTTGGACAGAATTAAGCTTAAAATGCGGCGCGAACCCATGGCCCTTGATACGTAAAATCACGGCACAGCATGGATCAATATGGAGAGAGACAGCAGTCAAGTGTAGGTGCTTGTTATTAAGCCCTCATTGTCGCATTGGTAAATAAATCTAAGCCGCGTACACAGCTGTCAATGTGTCTAATAGTCGACTCCCCCGGTCATCATGATATATGTTGTTGAAAAAAAAAACCCATACGCCAAACCATTTGTTCCCTCAAAGTCATATTAACTGCAGCTCCCTAGTATCCGTAATGTTACATCCCCACATGTAGAATCTTCCTCGCTACACATCCCCTCGCTCTCCACAACCACAACCATCCACAGTTCCTAAGCCAGAGAAGACTTAGACCTTGCCGAAAATTGAAGTCATCAGGATCTTGGTGACACGGTAAGGGTCAGCGTTGGAGGCGGGTCGGCGATCCTCAAAGTAACCGCAGCCACGGGCGGCAGTCTCGCGGGGAACGCGGATGGATGTGCCACGGTTGGCAACACCCCAGCTGAACTTCTCGATGGAGCCGGTCTCGTACTCGCCGGTGAGACGGAGGTCGTTGTCCTCGCCGTACTCCTTGATACACTCGGCGTGGTGGGGCTCGAGGGCCTTGAGGGCCTCCTCGATGTACTTCATGCCGCCCTCGTCACGCATCTGCTTGGTGGAGAAGTTGGAGTGCAGACCGCTGCCGTTCCAAGCACCCTTGATGGGCTTGGGGTGCAGGGAGATCTTGACGCCAAAGTCCTCGGCGATGCGGGCAAGGAAGAAACGGGCGATCCAGAGCTCGTCACCCATGTTGATGCCGACGCAAGGGCCGACCTGGAACTCCCACTGACTTGAGAGAACCTCGGCGTTGGTACCGGAGATGTTGACGCCGGCATCTAAAACCTGCATTAGCACCCGTTCCAAGAGCAACGTCATGATGCGATCCTAGACTTACACAGACAGGCCTTGTAGTGGGCCTCGACGACGTCACGGAGGACGACCTTGCCGCTGCCTACACCGCAGTAGTAGGGACCCTGACTGTACCAAGAGGTTAGCTTCAACTATTTTCCAACGTCATGTGAAACAGGGTTGACGTACGGAGCAGGGAAACCGCCAACGGGCCATCCAAAAGGCCTGTCGTCGTGGTCGAGGAAAGTGTACTCCTGCTCGAGACCGAACCAGGGCTCGAGAGAGGCGTTGGCCTCCATGACCTTGGCGCACTCATGGCGGTAGTTGTACTTGTTGGGAGTGCCGTCGGCATTCCAGCACTCGGCGAGGACAATGATGTTGGGAGAGCCGCGGAAAGGATCGGGGTAGACGGCGGCAGGGCGCAGGTAGACATCGGAATCGTGACCGGGGGCCTGGCCAGTTGAAGAGCCGTCGAAGTTCCAGACGGGAAGATCCTCGGGGGTGTATTCTTTGCCCTCAAGCTGAGGGAGCGTCTATCGCGAAAGAGTCAGCAAGCTTGATTTGATTTCTGGATACGTCACACCAGGCGCAAGTCATCGCGTCACCCCTTTTGATGATCAACTGCCAGACCCGACGCTTGCCGAGGCAGGGCGAATCAAGTCATGCCCAGACCAGACAGACCCTGAAGCGGGTCGCCCGTATTGCGGGTTTGTTTGGCTTGGTTCGGGGGGGCTGAGTCAAGATGCCAGAAATAGCAGCGATAGCCAGGCCCAATAGCGATGAGGGACCGCTACCAGACGAACTATTGCTGCTAGGACGAGCATCGAGCAAAAGACAAGCCAAGAGAATAGCCACACAGCAGCCAAGCCGTGGCGTCATGATTGCTTCCACTCGCCCAGGCCGAGTCGCCCCCCCTGTCCGACTTGTCGCCCACTAGGGTGGCGGGGCAACGGGACAAGTCGGGGGTTTTGCATGCATTCATTTTGCCAGAGATGCAAATGCACAATGCAGCTGACGGTGACAGGGGTCGAGATAAGGAAGAATGTTGGAGCAAACTCACCCTGGATTTTGATCGAGTCTCGCCGATAGAGTCGATCCAGACATACTCGGCCATGATCTTGCCCTTCTGGTCGAGCTTGAGGTACTTGTTGAGAGTCTCGGTTCGAGACGAAAGAACTTCTCGGTTGGCCATGATGACGGTTGTGTGTGTGTGTGTGTTGTTTGTTTGTGGGAAAAGAAAAGACGATGTAGTGGGGAAGAAGATTGAATGCGAGCGGAGTGCAGTTCAACCAGCTGTATATATACGAACGAGGATACCGGTATATGGGTATTTCAAACAGACCAAGAACTGGACTAAAAATGAAGCAATCAAATGGAATGCAATGCAGTATCGACAATCGCAGCCTTGGACGGACCCGGGCGGCGAGGGTTTATATGTGTTTGGAAGCATCAGCGCCAAAGAAAAAGGACGGAACCGGGTACCTTCACGTTCAGCCCCAGAGTCGGGATTTCCCCCCGTATTGTCGCACACAAGTATGGAGTACACCATCATGGAGTACTTTCAGTGCTAGGGGATGGGTATCGCCACAGGAGGGCCCCAGTTGCTGCTATCTTGGTGCCACCTAGTGCGACCGGCATGGGGCCCAGGCAAGCCAAGATTGCACGGTACCGGTACGAGGATGACGAGGGATTGGCACCAAGATCTGCTGGTACAGGTACGGGGTCTGTGATGAGCTCATGGAGGAGAGTAGCGATACATGTGGTGGCTGTACTATGTTCATGGCCGTGGGAATCTAAGCGTCCAAGGTTGTGGTAACAGTACAGTAAGGAATCAGAAAGAGAGTTGAGCCACCACCACCACCACCACCACCACCACCACCACCATTACTTACCACCACAGAACGCGTTTTACTTTTTTATTTCTTACTTTTTCCTTGTATGTTGATTATTCTTCCTCTATTTGCTTACCTATGTCTCATACTTGCTCCGTCATCTATCCGGGACACCACTGACTGACTCCATCCCTTGGAAACTCACACAAACACACACCTAGGTACACACACACAGCGCCTTTCTTCTCCCGGTCAGCCACAGTTGTTGAGAACTGAGCATATGCCCGGACCCTCTCCCCAATGGATACCTGGCCTCCGGTACTCGGTACCTCTCTCCCAGTCTCTCCCTCCGTCGACACTGTACTCCATCCGCAAGTACCTGATAAGGGGGCTCTGGCAGAGGCAATTGGTGGCTGCTCGACCGCTAGTCGCGGCCGGTTCTGGATGCTGAGTGGCTGCACGCCCCGAGGCTTTGCTCATTGATTTGTGTCATTGCATTTGATTGCCATGGACCCTAAAAATTTACATAAACGCCTCACCAAGTTTTTTCGACGCCGCGGTGCTGGAGCCAGTCGCCCTGCTCCGATTACCATCCGATGACTCGCGATATGACTGTTTGAGTTGTTTTTCCTTTTTCCCTTTTCCCACGATCTGGCTGTTTTGCGGAGATGCAACGGGCGTGATCAATTCCAGGCAGGTTGCATGCGCTTTGATTTCCTACGGCCTCGTTCCTACAGGTAGCATCAGTCTGACAGCCCCTCCGAATGCATGTGCGTGCTGGCTTTAGTAGGGATTACGGAGGACATACATACATGCCCATGCCATGCCATGCCTTGGCCAACCCAGATCTGACATCCAGTAATCCAGGTTTAGTACAGTGGTGAGTGGCCAGATAGGATCACTACAGAACACGAAAAGGCGCCACCGCATGCGGATAAAGCGAAACATCAAAGTTGGCACTAAAAAGTGAATCCAGTTTCCTTCAATCCTTGACACCAATAGTGGCTGGTGAGGCTGTGCGTGTAATACAACAACTGTTTAAACAAGACAAGCTGAGACACCTTCCATGACTAACCATACTCCGTACAATCGGAACATACGAAATGGAGTCAAAATGGACGGACCAGAATTGCTATACATGGAACTTCATGCCAGCGACGGCGTATCCGCGCCTTAGCTCAGGTACTCCCTTCCACCGCATAACCACATCAAATATTACGGGCCATGGCATCAACCAGCTGCCGGCAGTGCTCCTTGGTTCCAGGCGGTGCGATGAGCCGAGAACGAGCTTCGGCCACGTATTTTTGGTTTCTTTTTACGTTATGATTTCGATGCTGGATCGAATCGGATTACGCCGAGTCTATGTCAGGGACGTGGCACGACGCATAAGCCCAGGAACCAGAACAAGACGAAGAAAGGAGAGAGAAGCAAGCAAGGCCGCCTGATTGTTTGTACGTACAAAGTACTCCCTCTTGGCCCGTACTCGTACGCCGCCATTCACGAGTAACGAGTAACATGGTATGGACGTATCGCATCGTATCGCATCGCCCTGGGACGGACGCGAGGGTATCGCGTCCATCGCATCCACCTCTACAGCCGCCTGTGGCCGCGTGCGAATCAGTGCCCGTTTGCATCCACAAGCGGCAGTCTGACATGTGAGCACAGTGCAGACAGTAGCCAGCTACCAGCTAATTACTCGTAATGCTTTCTTCGGTCGTTGATCCCGAGCTCTGCCCTTGAGCTGATTCAGAGACAAAAATAAAAACAAAACTAGGGAGACAGACACCGAAACGACGAAGCAGAACCGAGGACACAACAGTGACGCTTCCAGCTTGGCCTCTTGTCTCGGTTCAGCGCTCTTCGGCTGCAGTTTGAGCCGTTTGGGCGGCCAAATACCTGTATAAGCCTGGGCAGACGTTACATGCTTCACTGCAAACGATGCGACTCTGCTCACGGCAAAGGGAAATTAATACCTCTTGCAATGCAGCATTAGGCCTTGGCTAGTGGCAGAGAAAAACAGACATTGATCAAATGTCACCAAACGGAAGAGAAATAGGCAGGGTACAGTGCAGTAGTACACCATATGATGATGAAGCTGAACCAGCCTTGAGTGAGTCGTGAGGCCATTGCGTGGCACATGCAAAGAAAATCCTCCCATTCCCACCACTTTTACCCATCGATAAACGCGCTTGATAACCGCTTTTCATGTAACTCGTAGGTCAATTTCACTCCTTTACTCCGTCTGCCCGCCCTCCTGTCTACTGCTAAGAGTAGCAACATCACGACATCAGCTCCGTACTGTACCCGAGTCCATCCAACCTACGGAGTACAAGCGGCGTAGAATCTCCAAACATGTGCCCAAAAGGCTCACACTAGCCGCCACATACCAGGGCTGCTTATCGTCAGATTCTTATTGGCTGCCCTCCCCGGTCTCTTCCTAATTCTCATCCATCATTCAACATCTTCGCGCGCACGCGCCCACACAAAACGAACAAGCAATCGAGCCAGGGCTGACCCCGAGTTTCTGGCCGCCGGTGGGGGCTTCTTGGCTTTGCTGCCGATAATGGGATGATGAGATGCTTCCTCAGTTCGATAGAATGAAAAGAAAAAAGCCTCCCCCATGATATTGGTCCCCCCCCCCTCCCCGAAATCGCTCACGGAGCGGGAGGTGCCATCTCCATTTACGGGTCTCTACGGAGGGCCTTGTAGCGCGGCTGCAATCTCTTAACGCGTGGGGAAGCTATCTTTGTTTGCCTGAATTGCAAAAATTCCGGTTCGTCGGCTCTATCGAGCAGCAGGCACATGTTACACATGCCTCCCACGCAGCAACCCACGAAGCATAGTCTATCTCTTGGTTCCCTTCCCAGGCTCGGCGGCTTTTATATATCTCACATGCGAATGTAACATGTAAAAGATTGTGTCCCCCCCTCAGCTTTAGATGCCATCGTGACACCACACTGTAGGCGAAGAGATAAACTGGCAACCTTTTCGTTGTTGGGGAGCTATTCCGCTTCTCGGTGGAACCCATGAAATGAGGCAAGAGACTGTTCCAAAGGAAGAGCCCTGTTCCGGTCAATACATATACCGATCCGAGGCAGAGCACTGCTTACGGCATCAGTTTATTCATCTCTGTTGACAAGAGGCTCGTTTCTGACACATGCAAGTGGCGCAAACAAAGAGCCTCTGGACACGAGCTGCGGTTCAGCCCCTCAGCAAGCCATTCAAAAGAGACGCCAAAGTAGGGCGAGGCATTGTCCCAATTTCTAGTTCAAAATGCGTACGGATAGTTTTTGTATCTTATGTTTGCCTCGTCCTATTCCCGTTCAAGGAACGAGACAAAGATGACAAGGCTCTCGTCAAAAATGATGAGAGGAATTTATATCATTTCTTCTCCCCTATTGCTTGATTAGATGTGAGCCGGATGATATACATGATTCCTATAAGTGGAGGCTGTTCTGATTACTGTTGCCTCGAAATTCGGCATCTCCCGAAAGATTGGCTCGTGTTCTTCGGCTAGCCCCGTGAAGACAAACTATTTGAATGCGTATTTCCCACAACTATCCGCAATGCATGCAGCGCGAGCAGGCCATGCTATTTCGAAATACGTGACTAAAATGGCCATAGAGCCTCATTACGCGTACTCGTCGAAGAACCAGCGTAGAGTCTCACATTTTTAATAAACTTCCTGTTGGCAATAACGGCTTCGTCGCATGCGTCGTGTCAGCCCTTGGGAGGAAGTTTGTGTCTATTTTCAGACACAATCGTCGAGCTCGGCCCATCGGTAGCTTTAGAGCTACCCCCTAGCAGGTGGAACCGCCTTTACTAGAGCTTACTGCTTTGGAATCCCCTTCAGAAGAGCTTCATATCCGACTGTTAAGGACTGGAGAAGATGCTGGCCCGGATTTGCTCGCTCTTTGTGTAGATGATGGCCTACGAGAGAAATTGGTTTCATTAGTCGTTGTCATGATCTGGGCAGATTTTCAACTTTGAGACTCATCTCTGGGGTGAGATATCTTGCGCTGAAGATGGCTATGCTAACAGTTCACCCAACACCTCCCGACGCCCCGTCAGCATCATTTCCTGGTAGCCCAGCCAAGCGTTCTCGCTGCAAGCCAATCAGCCCACGTCACTGAGCCTCAAGTTCAAGTCCGAAGGCATTGGTCATGCCGAAGCCGAATGGAATCACGAATCACGTCCGGGGCAGAGTTTGGGGCTAGTACTGCCCCTGTCATCGAGTTTTCAGCTGCAATAACAAGTGTTGCCGTGAAATTTGGCATGGGGGGCATTGATATATTAAGGCCATGAGTTGTCAAACATGGCTCTTCTGCTCCGTAGTTTTGTACGCTCTAGTTTCCACAACTCTCTTAACACCGAAAAGGAGCCAGTGTCGTTTTAGCATCACTTTTAGTTCAGCACATCATGTCTCGCCTCATTGACAGACTCCCCATGCCTGAAAAGGTGAGGGAGAAGGAGCTAATTGTCTTCAGCCGCAGCCGGTATGGTCTTTTGGTTCTTCCGGATGTTTAAGTAGCATCTATCTAACGCGTCATCGACCCCTCTAGTGTTGGAACTTTCTCTCTGTATCAAGCTCTCCAGATGCTCGGATACAAGCCCTACCACATGTACGAAGTAGTCCAACAGGGTATTACCCATCTCCAGCTATTCGAAGAGTCTCTACGGTGCAAATACCTGGGCGCTGGAAAACCATACGGCAAGGCCGAATTTGACAAGTGGCTCGCCAACTACGATGTGAGCTTGGCCTCCTCCCTCGTCCCAATATGTTTGACTAGGTTTCATATATACTGACTAGATAAAAACATACAAGGCCATCATCGAGATCCCTCAGTTCTTTATCGAAGAGTTTATCGAATTCTACCCCAATGCGAAATTCATGATTGTCGAGCGCGATGTCGATGCCTGGGAACGATCCGTATACAACAGCATCGCAGAGCCCATCGAGGCGGGAAAGAAATTCCCCTTGAATGTTATCCAATACATTGACTCTTTCATCAAAGTATTTGTTACTCTTCATGATGCATTTGAGCAGGTCATGTTCCATGGAAAGGGCCTGAGAGCGGGCATGGAGGACGCGAAGAGAGATAACGTCTTGGAGTATGTCCCATTTTCACTATAACATATATGCGATGGAAAGCTAACGCCGTACGAACCTGTAGCGCCGAAAAGGTGAAGAGATTGGCTCCAAATGATCAGCTTCTGGCATGCACTCTAGAAGGCGGATTTGGCTGGGAGCAAATTTGTCCTTTCCTCGACAAGGAGATTCCTAAGCAGCGCTACCCTAAAGGTAATGCGCCGGCCGAGTTCCAGGCGCTTTTGAAGAACGTGATTGGACCTCATGTTAGAAACTCGATGCTCAAGGTGTTGGGGACGGCACTGGTGCCTGTGGTTGGAGTGGCCATGTTGACTTATATGAAGTAGGATGGATAGTGGTCGAACCGGTGACATCGATGGAGTTTGGATTTGCGAATCGTTATTACGGCGCATGCTATGTTGGGATTTTTACTGATGCATGTCGGTGTTCGGCATCTTTGGCACGCATTTTGAATTCGTAAATGTATTTCACCGGCTGGCCGGGCTCGGAGTATATATGCTTCAATTCAGGGGAGGGACTGGGGCGTGGACAGATCCCTGTTTTGTCAGCTCTTTTGTGCATCTTGCCTAACGTAATGCTACATATGTGGGTAGATTTTCAAGGCATCTCTAATGTAATGAATGGAATAAAAGGCTACACATTGCGGACATCCTTTGAATCTGGACTGTGTTTTGTTCTCACTACTGACCGGTTGAGATGAGACTCCGACATGTGTGGAAGAAATGTGCCATTGCACCAAATCAAATTGGCAATCCACGATCTCGGTTCCCCCATACAACAGCGGCAATAATAGACTGTGGAAGAATTGTCGACCCTAGCATAACTGGAACCTGTCACTGGGATGTTGGGTATGTTGGAGACTGACCAGCGGATCCCTAGAGACGATATAGCCACCTTCTTACAACTCACCATTGATAACTTATCTGAGCCATTAGAGACACTGTTGTCTAGGTGATTAAGACGAACTCTTTCCCGATATGAACGGAAATTGTAAACGTGTGAGTAAAGTTTACAATTATGAGAAAGAGACAATGATGCCCCTCACGTGTTGCCATGAGCTCAACACGGTGCACCGAGCTTGTGCAAACTTCTCTCTTGCACCTCTTTCTCTCAAAAACAGGCAATATCGCATTCATTACCAAAGGTTGCTTCATCTATTCTATCGTTAATTCTTGATCATTAGACTCCGAACTTTTATTCCGCCGCCATGAGCACCACACCTGGCGACGGCAATATAGCCGCCGAACAAGAAGCGAACATACCGAAGCCATCTACTATCCGAAAGACGACCTCTCTATGGTCGAACGATACATGTCCTACGCATTGTCTCCCTCATATTAATTGCAAATCCTGCCTAAAAGCTGCGGTTTCAAATGCTATCAAAACCAGTGCAGCCCAGTCCCGGGCCTCCGCAACTACTGCAGCGAACTTAAAGCACCAGCCCCTGGAGCCAAAACCAGCTGCAACGTTCCCGAACAATAAATGTCTTACGCATATTACCCCTGATATTCATTGCGCATCCTGCCTAAAAGATACGATTGCACGTGTTGTCCGAGCCACTGCAACCCAGTCCCAGGCCTCCACAACTACTGCAGCGAACATAAAGCCCCAGGCCCAGAAGCCAAAACCAGCTACAACGTTCTCGGACGGTAAATGTCTTAAGCATCCTGTCCCTGATATTAATTGCATATGTTGCAAAAGAGCTGCGATGATACGTGCTGTCCAAGCCGCTACAACAGATCTCCAGGCCGCCACGACTGCTGCATTAAACATAACAAAGCCCCAGGCCCCGGAACCAGAACCAGCTGCAACGCAAGATTTGCCCGAATCCGATCCAAGCAGCAAGTATCTCATTGACCTTGGTACAGATTCTTGTTTCAAAATAAAGTATGTTTGTCGTTTCCTTTCTTTGACGCGATCGCGAGCTGACGTCCTCTAGCCCAATACCCTGCTTGTATTGCACATTCGGCTTAGCAGACGGGGACCCCAGGTATCTGTGTCGAATAGATCACTGTAAGTAACAGATTCTGCCTTGTATCAATGATGGCTCTACTAATCGGGCATTATCAAGTTGCTGGCAATGGGTGCTGCGTCGAATGCAACTTGGCCAGGAAAACCTGCACCCGGGTAAGTTGTACCTCGATCGAGTGAGAGAAAAAGACTAAGACGAGATAGCTTGGGTGCACACCTTCCGAGACGAAAACCCTCGAATTGGTGGGCTGCCGGAAAACCGTTTGCCTGCTTCTTCAGGGGGAAAAGAGTTCACAACAGACTATACTAGTAAGTAGAATGACCTATGTGATGACACCGCGCTTATATATTCGTGGGATAATGTAGATGGTCGGCCTGCTGGTAAATTTGGCAAAAGATCACATTCTTGACTTGTGGAATAGTGGACTTGCTTTGAACCTTATAGGCTGCCACGGGAAATCAAACGCCCCTGCAAACGAGGTGAAGAAGACGAAGAAGAAGAAGAACAGGAAGCCAAAATCCGAGTCTAAAGAAGCGGGCCTCGACAAAGAAGCAAAAGCAAGCGTCGACAAAGAAACGAGCCTTGACGATAAAGCGAGCACCGACAAAGAAGCGAGCATCGACAAAGAAGCGAGCATCGACAAAGAAGCGAGCATCGACGATAAAGCAAGCATCCACAAAGAAGCGAGTCTTAATGTTGAAGCAAGCCCCTATAAAGAAGCAGGCCTCGATAATAAAGCAAAGCCCGATAAAGAAGCAAGCATCGACGATGAAGCAGGCGTCAACACAGAAGCAAGCCCTGTTAAAGAAGCAAGCATTAACGATGAACTGGGCCTCGACAAAGAAGTAGGCATTGATAATGAGGCAGTCATCGATAAAGAAGCAAGCCTTGACGATGAACTAAGCCCCGACAAAGCATCAGGCATTGATAATGAGGCAGGCATTGATCATGAGGCACGCATTGATCATGAGGCACGCATTGATCATGAGGCACGCATCGATCATGAGGCATACATCGATAATAAGGCACCCATCAACAAAGAGGCAATTCCCGAGAGTGAAGCAAGCCTTGACGATAAAGTAAGCCCCGACAAAGCAGCAGGCATCGATAATAAGACAGACATTGATAATGAGACACGCATCAACAGAGAAGCAAGTACAGACACAGACGATTCAGGAGGTGTTTCGCTCTAGCGATAGACCCCTCGGAGACTCCGCTCGCGTCTTGGACATGACGATTTCCCTTGGCTTTTGGTTATCTAGAGCGAAGATGTGTTTGCAGGAATACGAGTTCAATAGCGAGTGTATTTTGTCTAGCGAACACTAGGGCAGGTAGTACAAATTCACATACCCAGCAGCTTACATGACATACGAACCTTATCCGTCTAGATGATGTTGATCCATGCAGTAGAGATAGTAGTAGCAGATAGTTCGCAGAGGGGATAGAGTACAGTGGATAGCTAAAAGATAGCTACAAGAAGAGGGTAGCGATAGCAGCAGATACGTTGTACTTGAAGGGCCAGGGGGATGAAAGGCGCTTCTTCTGCTTCTCACTATGACACATAAATGGTAATCAGGAACGGTCGCCAGGGTGTGTCAGATACATGTAACGAGTATCCACTCGGCAAACAAAATATAGCAGGCTGTCAGACTGCCTAATGCACGTGTTGTGTGGTTTATCCTTTCGTCTTGTCACCTTTCAATGGATGCCTTGATTTTGCCAAAATAGGGTTATTGCTCTGCAACTCTGCGCAGCCTAGGAAGCGTCCAGCATGCCGAATTACGGAATCCTGGGTTGTTATTAGTGCAATGGCGCATCCGACTACTATGAGACAATAACATTATGGCAAAACTTTAATCCCCAGTTGTCTCAAAAGATGACGGACTGACAGGGGTTTGGTGGCGCCCGTAATGAGGAGATGTGCCTCATGCCACGCTCGGAAGCCAGATGCCGCCTTATCACAGATTCAACAAGGGAAAAACATCCCAAAGAGTGTCCGGTTTAGTGATGGCAAGGGCTCTTGGCAGCCATATCAGTCAACACGGCGCGTGTGGAATGGCGCTATCGTGGTGATGGGAGCTCGCAGCCAACGGCTAATTCGCCTCGAGGTTCAGGTTGGATAAGTGCTTGCTCTAGCGTGCGACCAAAGGCACAAGCTTGGCAAACAGACGCACCTATGAGATTCCAGCCTGGACAACCCCCGGCCAGGTCCCCGCTCCCGTGCCGACGGAACGGCCTTTGACTTTTAACATTTGACGCTTGGCGTGGCCGAGTCGGGAAGGTTGCATGAACCTGAGCGTTCCGAAGGGAGAAGCTGGCTTTGGCTCGAGGGCTCTCGATTATTGGAATTTCATGCGAGTGTTGGCGCTGTGAGTGGGTTTTGGGAGAGGGGGGAGAGCAGGAGGAGGTTCTTGGCAGTCTAAAGGCCCGAATCTGAGTCTACGGAGTAAATGCCGGCGGAAGTTGAAGGCTGCCAAGTGAGAGGGAGCACGTGTAAGTTGAAAGCCCCCTTCGATGTAAAGGTTGGGGCAGATTCAACCGGTAGTCGGTGCATTGCATGAGGAGGAGGAGGAGGAGGAGGACAAGCAAGGATGATTGCACGTATATAAGTCGGTCCCCGTGCCGTCTTGGCGATGGGAATCTGGAGGACGCCTTCATCTGCTGTCTCTTCCAGCCTCCCCCGAGCTGAGCTGAGCCTTTGTTGGAGCCCATCTGTGTCACCATGAAGTCGGCCTTTGTTTACCTCGCGTCCGCGCTGGCGACGCTGTCGCTGGCCAGTCCCGTCAAGAACCTCCGGGCCGAGCCGACTGATCTGCCGCGTCTGATTGTCTACTTCCAGACGACCCACGACCAGAGCAACAACCCCATCTCGATGCTGCCGCTCATCAACGAAAAGGGCATTGCGCTGACGCATCTGATTGTGTGCTCGTTCCACATCAACCAGGGCGGCGTCGTGCACCTCAACGACTTCCCGCCCGATGACCCTCACTTCTACACGCTGTGGAATGAGACCATCACGATGAAGCAGGCCGGCGTCAAGGTCATGGGCATGGTGGGCGGAGCTGCCGCCGGATCCTTCAACACGGCGACGCTGGACTCTACCGACTCGGCCACCTTTGAGCACTACTACGGCCAGCTGCGCGATACCATCACCAACTTCCAGCTCGAGGGCATGGATCTCGACGTCGAGCAGCCCATGAGCCTGGCCGGTATCACGCGCCTCATTTCTCGTCTCAGGGCAGACTTTGGCCCAGACTTCCTCATCACACTGGCACCAGTCGCGTCGGCGCTGGAGAACAGCTCCAACCTCTCTGGCTTCAACTACAACTCCCTGAGGTCTGCGCAGAGCTCCAACATTGACTGGTACAACACGCAGTTCTACAGCGGCTTCGGCACCATGGCGACGACAAACGACTATGACCGCATCGTGGCCAATGGCTACACGCCCGACACGGTTGTGGCCGGACAGCTGACGTCGCCCGATGGAGGCGGCTGGATTCCCACGAGCAATCTCAACACCACCATCATCTCGCTGGTCAACGAGTACGGCCAGATTGGCGGTGTCATGGGCTGGGAGTACTTCAACAGCTTGCCCGGTGGCACAGCGGAGCCGTGGGAGTGGGCGCAGATTGTGACCGAGATTCTGCGTCCCAACTTGGTGCCGGACCTGAAGATTACTCAGGAAGATGCCGACCGTCTGCAGACTGCTTATGCCGACAGCGTCAAGGCGACGGGTAAGGACAAGAGCTTTGTCAAGAAGCCGTCGGTGAATTACCATGCCATGGTCAACGCTTAGGCGTGAAGCTGAGGCTATATATATGTATATACATTCATATGCTGGATACAATTGTTTATATATCTAGATGACTACTAGCGAGATATCCATGAAGCAAGAATGAAATTGAAATGAACTTTTTGATGCAACGGATGATTGTTTACAAAGTGCTGTGGTAACGAAGAATAGCCTGATGTCTTGGTTGGAATCAAGCATATGTCTAAGTGTAACTAGGCGATCCAGTGATCGCCTTGCAGGGGGTCTCGCAGCGTGTAACCTTGCATAAGCCGGGGTGGTCATCTGGGCGACGATCGAGGTAAGAATCGGGACGATCATGGGACGGTGTGATGCACTGGATCAAAAACGGTGCAGATCTTTTGTGGTTGGCGAGGGAGTTTGGTGGGACGGTTATTGTTGTTGAGGCATCTAAGTCATGTACATATGCATCTACAGGTACGGAGCAGCTTCACGGAACTGGAGGGGAAAACGAGGTGTGATTCATGTTATACAAGTACGCTCAGTGATATGCACGTGTCCTATATCAAAGCATCTCCTCAGCTCACTCATCATCCATCGTTGATTGTGCATCTCACGCGGCTGTTGAGAGCATCCTCTCCTGACGCATTGAATCCCACCACGCCGACTCCCGCCACCCGTTCAAGGACTTGGGATACTCGGGCATCCTCCCCTCCAGAGTCGCATCGTGCGAAATCGCCACGAATACAGTCTCGTCTTGGTCTAGCTTTCTGAGTCTCTCAATGGACTTGATAGCTACAGCTGTGTCGTGATGTATGCTGGTTCCGCCAGGGCATCCTGTGAGGCTCACTTGGCGGCTGCCATTGAGCAGATTGCGATGATGACAACAATCACCACCCAAGAGGACCCATTCATCGGGCTTGGTCTGGGCTAATCCCATGATGTGGCCTGGGAGATGACCTGGAGTGTCAATAATGAAGAAGCTACCATCGCCGAAGAAGTCGTGGACGTTTGAGAAAGGGCCTAGGGAAGTCCACTTGTCGTTGGTCCAGCTCAGCTCCGTGTAGTTGTCACGCTCGAGGAGCGAGCCCAGCATCGTGGAATTCGGGTTAGTGGGATACGCTGGCAATGCACCCTCTTTTGTTCCCGGCCCTGTGATGTAAGGAGTATCGGGAAATGTCGAGGGGTCGCCAATGTGGTCAAAGTGAATGTGGCTGATGACGATGGCGCTGAGGGAGTCTGGCGAGACTGGACCCTCGGAAAGCAGATCGCGCACATCCTTGGGGACTTGACACTCGAAGATGTAATCCAAGGATCTATTGAGTGGCGGAATGATATCTAGGTTCTAAAAGTTCGAGACAGAGTTAGCCTGGGTTAAAGTAGTATTGATATACGTGATATATAGACTCTGTAAGTAAGGACGCACCTTTGGTAAACCAACATCAAACATAATATTCTTTCCCGAGGGATGGCATATGAGGAAACTATAGTCGGGAAAGCGATTTCGCACTTTGATAATATCATCGTCGCCGTCTTCAAATAGCCATTTGTCCGGTAAATGAACCCACCCCGTTGGAAGGGCGTAGACTTGGACGTTCTTGGAGGAGGCAAACGACGACAAGAGACCCATGGCGAGAAAGGGCAAAGACGGGGTTTAATTAGCAACTGAGTCAATTAATTGAATGATGAAGTAGTAAATCTACCGGAACACATGTATGGATCTTGCTTTCTTATATGATTCTACAGAGTGCGTATCGTAGGCGCGAGCGTATCGTAGGTGTGAGCGTATCGTAGGCGAGCCTTTACGAGCATCTCCGGTTTCGTTCCGGAGCCAGGAGCCAGACCGGACAAGTTCTCGACCCCGTAATCCCCGGTCATCATTTGGCCAAGTTATATATTCTATGTACTATTTCTCGGGTTTATAGACCATATTTTGGTTAAACTGACAAACAGCGCATCTGCAAGCCCGCTTTAGACCGGACGCCGCTGGTAGGTTGTGACAACAGGGCGCAGTGTGACTCAAACCGACGCCCTCCAGTGTAAGATGACTAAAACCAAGAAACAAAAAGCGAGCAACAAATAATTCTAGCGACGAGTTTTGGACATGGATCAGAAGCGATCCGGACATGTTCGGGCGTAGTCACGGAGTTTACAGACCGAGTTGTAGGCTTCCGTGCTTTCTCACTGTCAGCGCGGATCACGATGCGTTGGATTTAGTGCATAATGGTAAGTTGTGACAGGGGCTTGTCAGATGCTTACATACATGTATGCGTACTTGGAGTTTTCTATATACTGCTTGATGCCCACCGATGTTTTGCTGGTCTTCTTATAATGCTCTTTCACTTCCAAGTTTAATGAAACACGTGAGCTATGGAATATATGCGGCAACGCGATTGGCCTTGCCAACTTGACTGTTTCAACTGTCTTGGTATTAACTATAGACGTATGACTACATATTCGAGCCGGTTTCTATCCATTTGATGCACCCCATTTTTTAAACAACAATCCACATACGCCTCATTTTTAACCTCATCAAATCATCTTAGTGCTTGTGCTCATGGTCATGGTCGGTTCCGCAGCATGAGCCACCCATAGCGGCTCTGGCAAGCTGGGCCCGAGTAGCAGGACGAGCTGCGGGCAGCAGGTCTCGGCCCATGAGATCAGGTAGAGGCGAGGTATCACGAGCCTCAGCAGAGCCCTCCTCGCGCTTGGCAATGTTGGAAGTGTAGACCATGTTGAGCCAGTTGGCCAGACGGTATCCGCCCTTTGCAATCTGCAGCTCGACGGTGTCGATAACAGAGTTGTAGTAAGTAGGGTACAGGTCGCCCTTTTGCAGGGCAGCAGCGCCGTTGGGCATGACGACGGTGCAGACGAGGGCGTTGGCGTCGGTGGCCCAGCGAGTGGCAGTGGTGATGACATCGCTGATGGTGTCGCCCTTGATCCAGCTTGCGGCCTGGGACTTGTACGATCCAGAAGTGATTTCGCTGACAAGCGTGTTGGCCCAGGTCTGAGCATCGGACAGAGAGTCGCCGCCAATGAGGGCCTCGGGGATATAAGTGTCCCAGTCGGAGTGCAGGTTGTCGCTGTAGCCCTGGAACGTGACGCTGATGTCGTTGCCACCAACCTCGTAGGCCTCGTCGTGCAGGGGCTGCGTCATGTCGCCTACAAAGTGGACGAGGAACTTGAGAGCCTCGGCGACGTTGGCCTTGGAGAGGCGGCCGTCTCCAACCCGCTGGGTGTAGTTGGCCATGGCCGAGATGGAGCAGCCAGCACTGCCGCAGTCTCGGGCATAGTTGACATTGCAGGAGGATGGAGGGCTGTCCTCAGCGTCGATGAAGTGGAAGGGAGCCGAAAACTTGCCAGCCGCAGTGGTGCGGTAGGTGTCAGCCCAAGAGGCGATGCCGGCCAAATAAGAGCTGGAGGTGTCATTGAGAACTCCCTGAGCCCTGTTGTCTTTTGTCAGTGTCCTTGTCCATTGTTCTCCGCGATAATTCATCCACATTTAACACTTACCATGATGCCGTGGCAGAGTTCAGGTAGTGCTGCGCAACGTAGGCGACGGTTGCGTGGCCCAAGACTCCCCAAGCATTGGCGCCCTGGAGCGTAGCCAGAGTCACCAAGGCGACCTTTGAGATGGAAGACATTGTTGTGATGATATTTTAGCTGCGCTTAGCTTTGCAGATCAGATGGATCTCCCCGAGGTCTTGGCAGACTCAGAGGACCGTCATCTTGGCAAGCTGGACATCTGGTTTTATATCTTTGAATCATAGTCTCGTTTTTTTTTCTAGTCCTGCCAGCGTCAAACAATCATCCCTAATCTTTTCTCTCCCTTCTTCTCTCCCATAGCCGTATCAGGAGCCCTATCTCGACCACGACCTATCCAGAACCGATCTCATGAGCTTCCCCGCGGCCTTGATGCCCGTTTCAGCAGGTCAACAGGATCGGCATTGCGCATGGCCGGCGATTCGGCATCTAGCGTAGCCGCCCTGAGGGCGTGCATGTGCCATCTTGATAGTGTGATAGGAGGATAGACGTGCGGGACTTTTGGCTGCCCTTGTGCTGCCCGATTTGGCTTCGGTCTGCAAAGTGTGTGTGTGTGTCTGAATGAACATGGACGAGCCGACACTAGCGAGGTGTTTTGTGCAGGCAGGGCAACGAAGCGAGCCCTATTTCCCGGGTATTTTAGATCTGGATTGAGCTTGATGGAAGATGCGGCAAAGGCCAATGTGGATGATTAATATACCCATACATGAAGAATTAGCTGGAAAATAGAGGTTGGGCCTATTGAAGGCCAGATTCAAGGCGCGTGTGATGGATTCCCCGTTCTAGACATTTCGCCAGCAGGGGCGTCTCCTTGTCCTCACTTTGATAGAGGTCCAAGTACACTATTGTAGATTGTGTGCAGATCTTGATGTTTATTTTGGTGCTTGAGTCAAGGAGATGCCTAGAACAGCATAATGTGTTGCTGTCTAGATGTAACCAGGTGGTGGGCTAGCAGAATCTAGCATCCTATATTAGCAGCCAAGCCCGCCGTTGTTATTTTGGTGCCGCTCCATCCACCGCTATTTTGAATAGATGTTCAATGTTATAAGGGACCATGGAGCACACATTCTCTTGATATACGAAACAACTATGTTTACTTGGACCGTGTTAACGCGTCTGCCAACTTGCCCAATACAACATAACCTTTACGGGCCGGCCCGGGCTAGATTGATCCTGCTGCTTGGTAACATTGAAGCCCGCCAACACTGTGGACATTGTGCCCTTGTGGAGGAATAACAATTCAAGTAGACGCTTAAGGCTAATTCAACCATACCACTCTAGATTCTGCTAGTTGAACAGCCTGGATTCAACGGCTTTCTTATCTCTCAGAGGACACAAGAAAAACGGCAAAATGGTGCCGTTTTACTCCGTTTTTGCCCCTCTCACTTCTAGCCCCCTGAACACGCGAGCCTCCACTATTCGCGTGCTTCACATGCTTCTCATGCTGTGTAATCCGGATCATTCTTAATGGAGTCGTCTCCCCGGCTCGGCATTGGGTACCAATTGGGCCTTTTCCTCGATGCAACCCCCTGCATCCTTCTCACACCACCGTTGCTCCTTTTCCCCCCGCAGAGCAATTGGGGGATCCTCTCAGCTTAACTGGCCCTCAGACTAACCCTTTCCATGTTCCAATTCAGCTGGCAATAGATTGCAAGAAAGACGCCCAATCTACGGAGATCAAGTAAGGCGGAGAATTTAGTGCTACAACCACTGGTGCTGATACACAATCCATATTAACCTAGTCTGTAGATGTCCAACAAAATCACCGACGCTCGCCTGGAATGGCTAGAGGCGACAAAGCGGCGGAAAAGCTTGCTCCTCCAGCAGCTTGAAGAGGAGGAGAAGAAGATGGGGGGCGACAACGAGGACATTGTGTCCTCTTCGGCGGGTGGTGATGGTGCCGCGGCGGCAGCGGCAGCGCGACAAGATCCCGACAAGGCGCAGGACGCGCTCAACACGCATCAATTGAACATTGACCGATTCAAGGAGGAGCTTGCGGCGATTGAAAAGGAGTTCGAGTCCTGGCAGGAAATGGGATTCAGCTTGCCCGCTTCCAAGTGAGGGCCGGCAACGGAAAAGAAAAGTCAACGCATTGGGTTGCTTGCTTGGAGCAGAACGTTTCGTCTGCTCTTCTTCTTTCTTCTTCTCTATACATATTTTGCTCGCTTGTCGGGGATTCTTTTGCCTGCGCTTTCATGCTATCACGTATATCACGAATTAGATGACGATACGATAAGTCAATGACAGCCAGCTTTCTATGCAAACACTCGGAAACCACCGAAGATATATACATGGTGGTGATATTTTTTCTCCTCTAGTTATTCTCTTTGTTTTTGGCATATCTCTTGAACAAGATGAATGAGATGACGCGCGGGCAATAGCCACCATCAAACCTTTGAGTGTATTGTTCATGAAGACTCTCTCTTCAATGACCTCTTCAATATTCTTGATGTAATCCCTTGTGCTGTGATAAATGGACCCAATGCTATCTTTGCTGAGCGGATCATCGCCCAGTAGAGTCATCAGAGCCACATAGCCCTTGCATTCGAGGCCGCAGAAGCCATTCTCCGCGCAAAATGACGCGTGCGACGCGAACGCTGCGTCGCCGGCGCTCTTGCAGGCGGCATCGCTCGAAGACACCACGGGAACGAGATTTCTCTGCAAGAAATTGATGGCACCCGTTAAGGACTTTCGTCCGTGAGAAAAGCGATCGAGGTTTTCGATGAACTTGTTGCAGATCTTGTGTCCGTAATCGAGGGCGTACGAGTGTGTGCTTCCGTCACAGGGCTCTGAGGTCTCAACGCACTCTTTGAAAAAGTCACAGTTGTGAAGCGGAGGGTTTTAACAAGTGTTTGCGAACATCGGTGACGCGTATTTGGAACTGCAAATATTGTTTTGAACGGCCGCCGAGACTCGACTTCTGGCTCGACATGGGTTTCAAAGTGCGGCTCAATCATGATTGCTATTCAGTTTTGTTTCGATGCGTTATCAGTGGCTCAACACACTTGCATTAATTTGAGGCCGTATTTATGTCTCATCTACCTCCGCTGACTTACAACATGTTGATAGCGTATCTTACCAACTACC